GATTAGGCCATGTTGGAGGGGGGGGGGGGGGGGGGCTCTTTCAATTGAGGCACAGTCAGATGTCTTCTCGGATGACGGGAACTTGAGTTTATCCCAGGTGCTCTGAAGTTGTGGGAGACACTGCCACACCTCGACTTTTTAACATCTCATTTTCTATAGCAGCTAATAACGATCGAAAAACATTGTTTCTCGTTTGTAACTCACCTTAGTATGGACGAACTTGATGAAATCAATTACTCTGCTTCTAAGGAGAGACTACTTTCATCTTCGTTGTCTGGGTATGAGGATGAAAATGTAGAACAGGTTCAGAAGCCATGTTCACACAAGTATTTCTGGGCTCTCGTGCTGGGGCTTGGCTTGTCGCTCATGCTGAATGTCGGACTACTCGGCCATTTATTCTTCAAAGCTGAGCTACCGAGGACAGCAACCTCGCATCAGTCGAGCTCCGTTAAGAGTGCCATAGCCCTCTATTGTAAGTCTATTCGCGCTATTAGACTTTTCTGAGTGTATCTAATGTCTTGTAGCTCCGGCTAATGATGCTGTGGAGACCAGCTCACCAAATTTGCGAGCTCAGTTGAAGGGGGCGAGACCGGCTTCCAGGGAAGACCTTCGATGAAAACCAATCAAGCCTGGCAGGGTTCGTATAAAAGTGAGAAAAAAACACTTGATTTTCTTAAGACCGAGTTGACAAGTCTTTCTGCGCAGATATGTTCACACACATAATCCATATCTCCTATACGAATCGCCCAAAGCCGCGTTTGAAGATCGCGGGGGCGATCACCTGAGTATTATATACCTAGACCATTGCATAGACTCACTCAGGCAGTCAATTCAGTACACCGGAGATGTTGTCCCGAACGTTTTCCAGTATAGTCCAAAATATGGCGATGTGCGGGCTCGCTCTACTGTTGTGCACGAGTGTCGTTCAGCCGACTATAGGAATGAAGCAATGACTTACACGCAGTTTTATCGACAGATCCAGGAGTAGGCTGCTCAGCACTACGTCCCGGGCCCGTCCAAAGACTTTGGCAAAGGTCCCGAGCTCGGAAAGTGTGGAATTGACGGCCCGTGGACTTGTTTGTATAAATAGGTTTAATATAGTTATCCTACCTAGGTAAGAAAGCTCATTGTCCCAGCTTTTTGAAATTATTCCCGTGACACCTATTAATAAATGAAGAAGTTGCAATAAAGGTCGCAATACTAAACCAATTAAATGTGAAATCTACCAAAGCGGGCATCAAATCCCTGCACCCCTTGCACAACGTAGACCCTGTCCAGACTAGCCCAGCTAGGAAGCTGGGATTGAGGCTCCCGTCTCGGCTCAGGCGTGCCCTGCATTTCGTGTTGGTACTTCAGCAAGGGCTACTATCTGTGTGTTCACGCCACGGCGGAACACTTGTTTGGTCTTTTCTCTTTTACTTTTTCCTCCCTCTGCGTATTCTTGACTGTTGTGCTGTGTTGCCGACATCAACAACCGCGCTGCGATGAACGCATCGGCGCATTTCGATGCCTTCGGGCCGCAGGTGACAGGACGATTCGACTTCACGCTTTATTTTGAACAAGCAATTCTGTCCATCATCCCGTCCGCGCTCTTCTTGGCGATCCTTCCCTGCCGGGTCACATGGCTGTTGCGGAGACCTTCGATCCCGCGCAGCGGATGGCTTCTCTTAGCAAAGCTTGTACGTCACATGGCCACGATAAAGTTGAAGAAGCACATCTAAGATCTCCCTATAGGCTACTAAGGCGGCTAGATACTTGAAGGCCGGGCAAGACGAGGCTTTCGGCAGGGTGCCACAGCTGGTCAGACCGGACAAAACGGCGACGACGAACCACATAGAGCAGGCGGAGGAGCTGCTCAACACCTTCTTCCCTGCTCTGCCGGAAGACATTGAGAATGAGGGCGATAGGCCGCAGAGAGCCGCCATAGAGATGCCGCCTGTCAGTATGGAGGAAGTTGAGCGTCAGTTATTCCGCGCAAAGTCCTGGAAGGCACCTGGAGAAGACGGGCTTCCGGTGATGGTCTGGAAACAAATATGGCCGGCGGTGCGACACTGGGTGTTGGCAATTTTCCAAATGTCTCTCGAAGAAGGGGCGCTGCCCCGTCAGTGGAGACATGCAAAGATCATACCACTCAAGAAGCCGGGCAAAGACGACTACACTCTGGCAAAAGCGTGGCGGCCGATCTCACTACTGGCTACCTTGGGTAAAGTGCTGGAATCGGTGATTGCGGAGAGGATATCACATGCGGTTGAGTCCTACGGTCTCTTACCGACGAATCACTTCGGAGCAAGAAAACAACGGTCGGCTGAGCAAGCGCTCTTGCTCCTCCAAGAGCAGGTGTACACGGCGTGGCGAGGTCGCCGCGTGCTCAGCCTGGTCAGCTTCGATGTGAAAGGGGCATATAATGGGGTGTGCAAGGAAAGACTGGTCGAGAGGATGAGGGCGCGAGGTATTCCGGAAGATCTCCTCCGGTGGGTATCGGCCTTCTGCTCCGACCGCACAGCATCGATCCAAGTCAACGGACAGTCGTCGGAGGAGCGGAGCTTGCCCCAGGCAGGCTTGCCACAGGGATCGCCGTTATCTCCCATTTTGTTCCTCTTCTTTAATGCGGACCTGGTACAGCGACGAATCGACAGCAACGGTGGAGCGATGGCCTTTGTCGACGACTTTACTGCATGGGTCACGGGACGCACAGCCCGAGACAACCGCGAGGGCATCGAGGCCATCATCGGTGATGCCCTCGACTGGGAGAGAAGGAGCGGAGCCACGTTCGAGGCGGACAAGACAGCCATCATTCACTTCACCCGGAAAGACTACAAGTCGGACCCGGACGCCTTTACAATCAAAGGTCAAATCGTTCAACCGAAGAAACACACCAAGATCCTCGGCGTCATCATGGATGCTGGGCTCAAGTACAAAGAACATATCGCGAGGGCGTCGTCGAAGGGTCTACAAGCGGCACTCGAGCTACAGCGACTCAGGGGCCTGTCACCAGCGACGGCGCGACAGCTGTTCACAGCGACGGTGGCGCCGGTGGTGGACTACGCCTCTAACGTATGGATGCACGCGTACAAGGACAAGCTCATAGGGCCCATCAACAGAGTACAGAGAGTATCAGCGAAGGCGATAGTCGGCACCTTTCTCACAGTCGCGACAAGCGTGGCAGAAGCGGAGGCCCACATACTCACGGCAAAAGAACGTTTCTGGAGGAAAGCGATCAAGATGTGGACGGACATCCATACGTTACCGGAAACGAATCCCGTTCGCAGGATCACGGCGCGCATACGACGATTCAAGAAGCACTGCTCGCCACTGCTCCAGATAGCAGAGGCGGCAAGGGAGGTGCCGATGGGACAGCTCGAGACCATCAACCCGCTCACACTGTTGCCGTGGGAAGAAAGAGTCAAGGTCGTAGTTGACGAGGTGGAAAGGAGAGAGACCGACGTGGCCGGCACAGTCCGCATTGCAGTCAGTAGCTCAGCGAGAAACGGCGTAGTGGGAGTAGGTGGTGTTGTCCAGAAACTCTCTACGACTGGAGACGAGCCGCAGCGTGAGCCCTTCTTCTTCACGCTTGGCCCAAGGTCGGAACAGAACCCATACAGTGGACAACTGGCAGCAATGGCATACGCGTTGCGCAGACCGTTGTCAGGCGTTACAGACGAAAGAGTTACGCTAGTGACAAGTAACAAAGCGGCGGTCCTTACGCTTAAGCGGCCACACCAACAGTCCGGACAGGAGTTTATACGATGCATCTACGACTCGGTAGAGGAGCTTCGACGAGACCACAACACTCTGACAGTCCAATGGACGCCCACAGGCGGGGAAGACGAATTGCTCAAGGAAGCAAAGGCACAAGCGCGCGAAGCGACCAAAGAGGGGGCCATCCCGCAGGCCCAGTTTCCAATAATGAAGTCAACAACGCTCAACGTAGCACGATCGAAATGTCTACCGGAACGAGAACTGCCTGAAAAGGTTGGGAGATTCTCCAAGAGGGTTGACAAGGCACTACCAGGAAAGCATACCCGTCAACTTTACGACAAGCTCACGTGGAAAGAGGCGACCACACTAGCGCAGCTGAGAACAGGGATGGCACGACTGAATGGTTATCTGCATCGGATCGACGCAGCGCCTTCACAGAGCTGTGATTGCGGGCAGGCGGCGGAGACGGTTGAACATTTCCTTTTCCGCTGCACAAAATGGACGATACATCGTGCAGAGATGCTACAGTGCACAGAAACACAGAGAAGCAACATATCCTTCTACCTTGGCGGCAAGAGCCCGTCGGACGACGATAAATGGACGCCAAACAAGCAAGCGGTTCGAGCGACGATACGATTTGCGCTGGCAACAGGCCGGCTGGACGCAAGATAATGAGAGACGGAAGTGGAGATCAACCCCCAACACATCAAAATCGACATAAACCCAAGTACATAACAACCCGTGCCATGGACAGCAGGCACCGCTTCAGCCGCCGTAGATAGGACGTTGAACACTTGGAGAAGTAACTTCAAGATGGCATGCTAATAATACAACCAAAACCACGGGAATCCGCAGTGAGAAGGCAGATATGGAGGTGCAAACAGGAAACGAAGACATCACTTATGGGCTTTAAGGAGACAAAGGCATAAGCTCAGCAATGTGTGTGTAGTCAGCTTTAGTGGCCCTTTCGGCTCCGCCGCCGGGCGTAATAAATTGTGTGTGTATAGGCTACTAGCACAATACACCTCTCCCTCCAAGCGACTCTCTTGGCACTATGGGCACTTCCGACCACGATCAGGACTCCAGCCTCGTTAGCAGCGGCCATTTTGGCCCTGGTCAGCTCGATTCTGCTTATCAGTTTGATCTATGTGGAACATGGCCAGTCAAATAGGCCATCTAAGCTCCTCAGCATCTATTTATTCATCTCAGCTTTGGTGGACATGGCTCAAGCGAGATCGCTCTTTCTGCAACAGCCCACCACGAGTGGAAGAATTGGCGCTGTGTTTGCAGTGTCTCTAGCCATGAAGCTTCTTCTTGTCTTGCTGGAAGAAATACCAAAGTCAGGTTTTCCGGGGCCTTCATCAAAGGAAGAGATCAGCGGGCCGGTCAACAGATCTGTATTCGGCTGGTTGAACCCTTTATTCCTCCTAGGTTCCAGGGACACATTACATGTTGAAGATCTCGGAAACATCGATCGCAAGTTTGACTCCGCTCGGCTGCTGTCTAAGCTGAGCTCCTCGTGGGATAGCAGCAATAGATCTGCCAAACATGCCTTGCTCAAATCCACGCTCTCCGCTTTCAGAACGGGTTACCTGGCCCCGATTCTTCCGCGATTGTGTCTGGCAGCTTTCAACTTTTCCCAACCCTTTCTGATTAAGAGCATCATTGAGTTCGTGGGGGAGTCTAGAGACATGCAGTCTCGCGAAGTTGCAGGAGGACTTATTGGAGCTGCTTTGTTGGTTTATTTGGGGCTAGCAGTCAGTATCCCCACCCTTCTTCCCACTGTAACGAGTGGTGTACTGATTTATTAGATCTCCAAAGGCGTTTACAACCATGCCGTGTACCAACTCACGACCACGCTTCGAGGCGGACTGGTTTCTATCATCTTTAGGAAGTCACTTATGCTGGACGCCGCTACAGCTAGCCAAGGAAAGGCTGTTACCCTCATGAGCACCGACATTGACGCAATCGCCAGTGGAGTCAAAGATTTGCATGAGATATGGGCTAGCGTGCTCGAGCTAGGCATAGCTGTCTATCTACTGAATTTGCAAATCGGCGCCGCGTGCTTTGTCGTTATGATTCCAGCCGTTGGTAAGTGGTCTTTGTATCTCCCCCTTGCCATTGCGACTCTGTGACTGACAGATGTACAGTTTGCAGCTTTATCACAGAGAGGGCCACTGATGGCATTGGTCCTGCCAGGATGATGTGGAACGAGGGTGTCCAGGAACGCGTTTCCACAACTTCTTCAATGCTTTCTCAGATCAAGGGTATCAAGATGATGGGTCTCACTGACTACTTCGCTACTATGGTACAGCAACTCAGGGTTGCGGAACTTGACATGTCTAAGAAGTTCAGGATGTTTATCGTGCGGATCATTCTCATTTGTGGGTCCCGGTTTCGCAAACTCCACCATTCACTCACATCTAACACTTCCAACAGCGAATCTCTCAGATCAGATGACCCCGGCCGTGGTCGTGACGGCTGCAGTCTTCTGGACCCGGGCGGATGGCTTCACCATATCCCAGGCCTTTACATCTCTCGCCATTGTGGCCTTGGTGTCTACACCCCTGGCTAACCTCATTGGCTCTTACCCAACTTTTGTGTCCTCTCTCGCCTGTTTCGATCGCATCCAAGAGTTCCTCTCACAAGACGAGCGCATACCAGAAAAAGTGCAAGACACTGACGCCGCTGAGAGAAAGACTTCCGTGAGCACAGGTTCTATCCCTGATACCATGTCGCACACGACCTCAAAACACCGCGCCATAGAGATGAAGGAGATGCATGCTCAACAACCTTCAGAGAAGTCCGGCGTTGCTATTAGTCTCGAGAACGTAGCTGTCGGCGTTGAGGGAAAAGACGAGCCGATCCTTCGAGACATCACGCTGTCCATTCCCAGAGCCAAATACACAGAAGTCACTGGCGTCGTGGGATGTGGAAAGTCCACCTTACTGAAGACCATTCTTGGAGAACTTCCTTTGAATGGTGGTAGTATTCGATTTTTAAAGCCCAACATGTCGATTTCTTTCTGTGAACAGTCAGCTTGGCTGCAGAATATTTCTATCAAGGACAACATTGTTGGCCAAGAGCGATTTGATGACGAGTGGTACGGACGTGTTCTTTTCGCCTGCGACCTAAAGCAAGATATTTCTAGACTGCCAAAAGGAGACGACACACTTGTTGGTAGCGGAGGAATTACACTCAGTGGTGGACAGAAGCAAAGAGTTGTAAGTACCGTCAAGTCCCAAGTGGAGAACCCTGTTCACTGAGAACGTCTTATCCAGGCGCTTGCGAGAGCTGTCTTTGCGAGACGGTCTATCGTTCTTCTAGATGACCCTTTTAGTGCTCTCGATGCTGAGACCCGAACGAAAGTTTTCAGCCGCCTACTTGGTGAGGAGGGTCTTCTGCGGAAAGGCGATACCACTGTCATCCACGCCATCCCCGCCGGTAAGTCTGCTTGCCTGCTTACCCTCGGCAACCACCACCATAGTTCCACGAACACACTGACATTACTCCGCTAGGTCCACGAAAGTCAATCGCCGATAACTGTGTACTTCTTAGTAAGACGGGGTCTGTTGAACAAGCAGGACCTTCAATCAATCTTGCCACGGCATTCAAGGACGTCAACTTTGAACCTCACCCTGAAGATAGCATCCAACAGGATGAAGATGGGAATGCGGCGACCGAGACATCGAAGTCGAAGACATCTGAAACCGAGGATGACAATGCTACTCAGAGGCATTCGGGCGACTTCTCGCTCTACAAATTCTACCTTCGATCCATAGGCCCAGCCCTAACCATCACATTCATCCTTGCTGCGGCCTCATACATCTTTCTGGGCTTCATGCCAAATATCTGGCTCAGAATTTGGACCGAGCGCGGAACCAACGATGGAAACCGCGGCGATTACTTCGGCGCCTATCTCGCATTTTGTATCGGAACCGTTCTGTTCTCGGGACTGGCCATTGGGCTGTTCTTCGTCGTCGTCATCCCCCACTCAGCCACAAGGCTTCACTGGCAACTTCTCGACTCTGTTCTCAAGGCTCCTCTGTGGTTCTTCACAACAGTGGACAGCGGCGTCACTCTCAACCGTTTCAGTCAGGACATGACGCTTGTCGACCAGACTCTACCTACGGCCTTTTTCGAGGTTGTGCTCGACACTCTAGTTGCTATTGCTTCTGCAGCACTTATCGCCTCAGGTGCCCAGTACTTCGCAGCCATCATCCCGTTTTGTGTGTTGCCATTGTACTTCCTGCAGAAATTCTATCTCAAGACGTCGCGTCAGATGCGTCATCTCGATCTCGAGTCTAAGTCCCCTCTTTACACTCACTTTACTGAGACTCTCAATGGTGTTGTGACTATCCGTGCCTTTGGATGGCAGCGGGAATTCGTCAAAGAACAACTCCGTCTACTTGACATTTCCCAGAGACCTTACTACCTCCTGTTTTGTATTCAAAGGTGGTTAGCGATTATGTTGGACCTATTCGTGGCGGTGATCGCCACCGTTTTGGTGAGAACACCGCTTCTATTCTGCAGTGTCTGAGCGTACTGAGTATTCCCAGGTTGCCTTCGCTGTCAAACTCACCAACACTACAAGCGGTGGTGCCATTGGTCTATCCATGGTCAGTCTCATGGGCCTGAACTCCAGCTTGTCGCGGCTGATCAGTTCTTGGACAAACTTGGAGACTTCCCTCGGCGCAATCGCCCGGTTGCGTGACTTTGTCCGCGATACTCCTCAAGAAGACGGCGTCGATACCCAGAGACTGCCTCCAGTCCCCCAAGGGTGGCCATCTTCTGGTGCAATCGACTTCAAGAGCATAGACGCTAGATACAAGTATTTTCCTCATTCCATGTCATACATTTCGTGAAAGAGTTTTGTACTAATTATTGCCAAGGACTGATGATGAAAATGTGCTCCGCGAACTTTCCCTGAGCATCAAGCCAGGCCAGAAGGTCGGCATATGTGGACGCACAGGAAGGTGAGTCAGCTCTCTATGTACACCGATTGCGGCAACACCCACTCACGCTGGCCAACATAGCGGCAAAACATCTCTGCTTCTCACTCTGCTTCGTCTTCTCGAGACGCCTTCGGGATCCATCCAGGTCGACGGTATTGATCTCTGTTCTCTCTCGCGCAAGGCAATCCGACCACATTTTATCACTCTGCCTCAAGATCCAGTGACCATTCCTGGGAGCGTCCGAACCAACCTTGACCCGAACGCATCCTTCAATGGAGTATCAGGAGACGAAGCACTTGAGGAGGCACTGGCGAAGACCTTTCTTTGGGACGATATCATCAAGTCTCGTGGTGGGTTAGACGCCGACTTCGTTGAGTTGGGTCTATCCCACGGCCAACAGCAGCTGTTTGCTCTAGCTCGTGCCATATTGCACAAGGACCAGAGTAAGATTGTTCTGTTGGATGAAGCAACCAGCAGTGCCGATCACGCAACCGATAAAAAGCTTCAGGAGGTACTCAGGGAGGAGCTTGCTAGCCACACCATTCTAGCCGTGGCGCACAGGCTCGACACCATTGAGGACTATGATGTTGTAGTGGTGATGGACAACGGTAGGATCGTGGAGGTAGGTAATCCGAGACAGCTTCAGGAGCAAACCGGATCAGCCTTCCAACGTCTCTATGCGTATTAAATATATCAAAAGGTGAACTGGCTAGAGTTCGTATTGATAGCAGTCTTCAGAGATGACTCAGTCGTCTGTATGACAACTATGAGAAGTCTGGCCAACATGGACATTATCCTGGTTCCATTCTTCTGATTCATAACATGAAGACGCTGAATATAACAAGATAGCACTTTAATAGAGAATATTCAAAATACTGATGTGCAGGTTATTTGTCTTAGTGACGCATGGGGGAACCGTGGCAGCTATTATTTTTAAACGTATCCGCCATCTTGTGGATGAGGTTTTTGTTAGTTGCTAGCATCGAACTCGAGAAAGGTCAACTATAATTATGGAGAAATTTCATAGATGAAATACTGAAGGCAATGACACATTGAGAAATGGGTTAGCTTTGGATTGGGAAGCCTCGGTGGTGTCGAGCTGTTGAGTCATAGCTGCAAATTTTCCTCTTCTAGACTCTTGGTGATCGTTTCCAGGTTAATCTTAGCCAGGGGGTACCGAACTCCGGAGCCATTCAGACGCAGTGCAATGGCAAGCACCATAAGCACCCAGACCCGTTCCGAAACGACCTCCTTAGGTAGGACAGTAACACAGCAGCTTTTACCTCTGCATCTACCCACTGGCAGATTACCAGTCAAATCCTACACAAGCTATGATCGGGAAGAAAAGCTTCCCGATCAACGAAACGCCATGGAGTGAGTCGGTCGCACTGAGTCACCAAAGTTATTCTTGGGTTTAAGGAGGAAGTCTTTGGAGAGTTGCCGCAATATCCTGTTCCATTATCGACATGTCCGCCCAAACGACTAGACGCTATATACTGCCGTCGTTATACTTAATACTTTTTTTGTATCTTAGCCCTAGGTTTCAAATTCTTTTACCTCCTACGATCTAACGAATCGCGTAGATTAAAACACGGAAACAATGACGAGGATCAATGGAATGGATTCTCGTAGCCTAACGCATGCCCCTGACGAGTCGGCGCCACGCGAAACCTATAACTAACCAGTCGAGAGCTTCCTGAGGAATGTTTCAAGATTCAAGTTGATTGAGATAACACTTCGCGAGGGAGAGTAACTCACTAATACTTTCTTTGATACAGGTTTGTCTTGCCTGCATCTGATCTTGCTCCCACATTCTGGCAAATCCCACACAAATGCAAACTCCGTTCATGGATAGCAGCTAACCAGTGTACCTTAGAAACCAAAACCAATATGCAAGAGCCCCCGATCGAGACTATTTAACCGAGCGAATGATTAAGAGTATTAGCGAACATGAGGATAGAGCTAAGAAGCTTGATAAGTTTAGAGTAGACTATATTGAGCTCATAACTCCGGTCGTATCTCCATAGTTACGCAAGAACTGCGAGCTTATATGCGGACTGGGTCTCAAGATACGACCCTCTATACGCCTTCTCCAAACTTCTCTTTTATCAAACGAGCGAGATCTTCAGGCCAAGATTCTAGCGCACGTGTGATGCCATATGGATGATGTACGAGCGGCCGTAGAATGCGGTGTTGTCGGAGTATAAGGCGACCTCACAGTCAATTCCCTATCACTGGCAGCAGATACTGATTGTTTGATGCAGCAACATCATGATGGGAAAGTCGGCTCTCCTTCGCCAACATTCTCATGGCAAGAATGCTGCCCAAATCATCAAGGCAGCGATCAAAGTCATCGAATACGTCAAGTCCCAGGACCTCGAGGTCAGGTTTTCCACCGAAGACTCTTTCCGATCCAATCTCGTCGAAATTCTTTCTGTCTACAAGACGGTGGACAAGACTAGGGTCAATAGTATAGGAGTTACGGACACCATTAGTTACGCGAACCCGCGCTAGATCTACGATCTAATACAAACCCTTCGAGGGGTTGTCTATAAGTCATCGCCCCGAAACCCCAGCTTCCTCAAAACAGCAACAGCAAAAGTAAAAGAGCGTCACAAATAAGACTACCTTGTCTGACTTTTCAACACGCAATCAGCATGCGACATCGAAACCCATTTCCACGATGACACTGGCTGCGCTACCGCGAACGTATACACTGCCCTCGAGGCAGGCGCCATCCACATTAATGTCACAGTGCTCAGCATCGGCGAGCGCAACAGTATTACGCCTCTCGGTGGCTTCATCGCGTCTATGATTGTCCAAAACCGCAAATACGTCACTATCAAGTAAAGGAGCTGGAAAATATGGTTGCGAAAGCTGTGCAGACCAACACTCCCTTCAAAAATACCATCACTAGATTCTGTGCCTTTACGTACAAGTCTGGCTATCACACCAAAGGGGTCTTGAGCCACCCGAGCAACTACGAGATCATCAACCCCGAAGACTTTGTGATGACGCAATACGTCCACTTCGAGTCAAAGCTGACGGGTTGGCATGCAGTCAAGACCCGCGTGAGCCAGCTTGGCCTGGACATGCCGGACGATCAAGTCAGAATTGTGTAAGTAATGGTTCAATAGAAAATCGGCTGGTTGAGTCTCTCGGCAGGCTTGCTGACATTATATTCTAGACCGAGAAGATCAAGACGCTCGCTGACATTTGCCTATTGTCTATCGAGGATGTGGACTCGAACATTCCAAGTCTCCATGCAGGTGAATCGCAAGACTAATAGTTATCGCAGTGTGCTCAAGAATGACGCGGTCCCTGATTCTCTGTCTCTCCTTTGTCGAGTGTCGGGGTCACTATCATCTCTTTTCTGAAACAAACGTGCAAGGGGAACAGCAACATTCTTGCAGACATTCTGGAAGAACGCATTGTGTCACCACCTGACGTAAGGGGGCCACCAGATAGCAGCATCATGGAGCATCTTTCTCGCAGAGAACAAAGGGGCTAGTCACGAGGAGGCTGTTCAGTCGACACGACGCAACGTAAGTGACCAGGAAATCAACGTGCCGATTGTCTGGCACGGATCCTCGGCCGGATCTGAGAAAAGAAAGAGACCAAAGCAAGTAGTTTGACCTAGGACAGTACATGAATGAATACCTTTTGATTGAAACCTGGGAAGAAATCGGGGTCCTTCAATCCTTGAGACTTGTGTTGGTTGGTGAAAGTCGGGCCGACCAACCGGTTGCTTGGGGCGAGTTGGTTTTCCGCTATGGAAACCGTCTTACTCACCTAATGACTTTAACACATGCACTGTCAATGGTACCAGTATAATCACTTAATAGTAATATTAGGAGATATTCTTGCCACGGCCCCGAATAAACATACATCCCATGCTATGTCTTCATGCTCTTTTCCTCTTGCTTTTCTGCGATTTCGTTGGTGGCTTGTATCTGCAGACCCAGTTAGGGCTCACATCCTTCTCAGCCACCCAGGTGTCCTCCTCGTGAGGCCTACCATCCCAGCGAATCTTATGTTCCGTCTTTCCCTTACGAAGTCTAGTTTTCAGTACTTGCACACCATTCTCGAAGCCCTCGGATAAGGCTAAGCTAACCGACGGCGTACTACCCATAAGTCAGGAGACCCTGTCTAGTGACGCCACATCTTCGGTAGCAGAGGAGGAGAATACTCAGTCGAGAGGCTGCGGGGAAGGTAGAAAATGAGGGCAAGATCCCATGAATCCATTCTCCAAAACTATGTTCTCCATCAATAACAGCTCGCCATGCACAAGCGTCTTCGGAGGGCACCATGAAATTTCATCTTCCGTACAAAAGATAACTCCTACTTCTATTAACTTGACATGAGTCGCCTCGACTTCAGGGATTAGTTGGCTGCCCACAGGCGTCTTGCACGCCAAGGCCGAAACTTCCGGAGTGGTTTTCGTCCTTTAAGCTCGCCTAGCCTGTGTTGCAGCCTTGAGAATATAGACGTCTGACAAATATCTTTTTAAGGCTTCCTCATGTTCAAGTGTTTCCGAGCATAGTGAATAGAAGGCTGGATAGCTGTCGCGTAGTTCCACTTGTTTGATGTGTCGCACCACGTCTGCATCTCGTTTCCAGGAATGTAAACGTTCGGCTGGGCTTTTGCCTTCAGCAGCTAGACACCAGGGGCAGTAAGCCGGTCGAATCCCGGTGCGCCGTGACTCCATAGAGCCACGGATCTTCGAAGGTGGCTTTAGATGGGAGTGACAGTGGTTGTCCCAGGGCTCTCCTTTGACGAATCATTCAGCGCAGTCGTGGCAAAATCGCATATCCTTGGGTAGAACGCGTTGTTCTGCAGCGACATGCCTCCTGTTGCATGCATGCGTATGAGAGCTTCGAGATCTCAGTTGACTGGTAAATTTAGTACTGCACAGTAGAAGATAGCGGGATCTCACATCTTGGACAAGTCCGTGCCGCAGAAACGACAACCGCCACCAATGGGCTCCTCTCGAGGATAGTACAAGACAGTGCAGTTCTTGGAAGCCAGACTATATAGATCTTGAACACCTTGGCGCATGGATAGTTTGCCAAGCTTGCTCATCGAGACCATCAGCTTTTCGACGCGTTATAGCTCAGGGATGAAGGGTGTGAGTTGGTTACTCCGAACGGGCCCTAAAGCTGGTTGGACTTTGCCACTCGTGAGAACCTTCCAATCTCGCCTTTTGCGCACCCAATCTCGACGATATCCTGTGAGAGCATTCGCTTTCAATCTGCGGCGCAGATTTTGAAGCGCTTTGCTGACTCGGGGCTCTTTACTCGAACCCTTCAACAAGGTGAGCTCTTTTTCAAGGGCAAGCACCTCCTCATGCTGCCACAAGGCTCTCTCAAAAGCCGCAGACAACGTAGTCGGAGCTCCTTGCTCGCGGCAGATACTCGATTCCTTAAAAGAACTCTACAGCGGTATAATCTAGGTTCTCACCGAGGAATGCGCTTAGCCCGTCGACCGAGGAGCAATTAGCTACGTAGCTCGCCCCAAAGACCATCACATCCGACTGCGTAATATTTTGCGATCGATAAACTTCAGTATACCGCTCTATGCCACAAAGAGTAGTCAGTTGAGGCGGCTCGCTCTGGAAATTACATACCATCGATTTTCTTTCCTAGATGACGCCTGATCTGATGCACATATGCGGCAACTTCAATACAGCCGGCAAGACTCAGTATATTGCGAAATGCTCGTTGAAACACATCCAGGCTCATTTGTTCTCTCGAAACGATGCCATATCCCTCGATCTTACGTAGGAGAGGGAGATCGAGCACCTCTTCGTTCCAGCGAAGGATGTTCTCGCTATCGCCAGGTACAATATCCAAGTCCCAAAGGTCTTCTAAAGTCTCTAAGGCAAACAGAGCATAATCAGCAAAGATCAGAGCCTCCAGCAAAGCCTCAATATCGTGAAGAATTACAGGGTGTTCATGCATGGTTATGCCAAACCTACGAGGGGAATAAGTAAGGTATCAAAATGGGAGGTCCTCTCTTACACACGTCTGGTTTTCGACATAACGGTTATTCTTCACAAATCTGAAAAAGAAAAAGGAGCCGTCGCCCTCCGGTTTCCGCTTCTGGACGAGTTCGATATCATTTCTAATCAGCTTCTATGCAGTATGTGTTATTTCTGGACCTCTCACCCTGTGTGTGACTCTGCCCGCGAAGAGAGCACTGGCTCCTGCTCCTGTAGTTGCGGAGCTATAAGAATAAATTGCAGCTGTATCCTCATTCTTTCAAAATCGACGTTGAGTCTGCTCTAGATAACGTGGAGAATTCGATCAAGAGCCACAACATCAAGATTGTTTAGACTTCTTTTATCCTCAATAATATGGTGCGCAGTTTGATCACAAAGAAGCCACTGGATTGTATCAGCATTGTGATTTTTCATTTCGCTCATAGGGTAGGGCGTACGTGGTAGACCTCGGTTCGTTGTGCCTCGCTGGTCTCTGTCTGAGTCTCGCAAGTGAACGCTCGATAGAAGATCTCTGCAATACCAACCATAGATTCTGCTGTTGGCTTCCCGTTCTTTGTAACTCGGCCTTTGCTGCTTTCGATGTAGAAACGGAAAAAGTCCTTTGCTTCGGTCAGACTTGGAGCCGGCGCCCCTCCGCAATAGCCAATGCCGAGCGCTTTGGAAGTCGGGCGGCGTAGCTCCAGAAAGCTCGGCTTCATCACCAAGTCGACTCTAATACTAGCTAGATAAGTTAATAAAGCATAGGGGATGCCTAAACACGAGACTGCTCACATTGAGAACTGTCAAAGTACTGTTTCATGCATTGCCGTTGTGTTTGATCGGTATCTCTCGAGATTCCTCTGATCGTCTTGATCTTTGTAAGCATCTTTTCTGCATCCTTTGGCCTTCGCTAAAGCGATGACGGATTCTGGCGAGGGAGGCATCATGCTGGCGATATAAGTAAAAATCGCCCGATGAGTTAGTCTATATTTAGGGGAAATTTCGGGGACATTTTGGGGAGAAGGAGGAACTATAGCGCCTTTGATTAAATAGCGTTCTCTGACTGTGAAACCTGTTGGTGCAAAATATGTGTTCTACAGTCTGAAAACTGTCTACGGGATTGAGAAGTTGGTTCTGAGTTATCGGGTGCCTGAAAGCGCTAATATGACTAATAACCCCCTGTCTATCTGCTCACCTTCGTCACCTTGCTCATCTCAGGCATCACTCCTCAACGTCAAAAGCGGCCTCTTTCGGGTGAGCCACAAAGTGAGTGAAAAGCACTTGGACAGTGTATTCACTTGCCAATAGAAGTTAATACTTTTCAAAGTGCTATGGACTCAGAGTTTAAGGTTTGGTTGTGTTCTAGGTGGCGGACACTAATTTGTACCGCAGAATCTAATCTTATTCATGAGCCTTAGCATGAAATCCTTCATGGGCGAACCTCAGAGTCCTGAAGCCGCTGTTAACGCTTTAATACTGATGAATCGAACGGAATTAATTTACTGAAGTTGATCGGAGTTGAAAAGTGGCAAATCCAATTGATGGGTAACCTGTGGGAAAAGTCCGGAAACACTGGAAAAAAAGTGAGGGTAAGTGGCACAATCAGAAGAAAGAAAGACAGGCAGTATTGAGGACATTTCATAATATGAGGATGCCTGCTGAATGGTAGTGGCGGATCAAAAGAGGTTTATTGCTCGGGTTTTGTGTCCTGCAATGCCGCAAAGTAGACGAACTGACGAAGTATAGAAGCATTGAGATACGGAGCTGAACTGGACTCGGATAGATATTGCGCTACTTAAAATGAAAAATGCTCGACTGTACACAATAAAAGACAAAGTGTTCTCAGCACTTTGCCTTAGAAAAGGCCCGGAGGAATAAAGAGAAACCAGAGCTGATTGCAAATGCCGAAGCAAAGCACAGCAGGCGCCGTCGGGTGCCCCACTGGTGGGTCCCATCGGTGGGCGCACTAATCCCCCGAACCCCGTCTCCGTTCCGGAGCTGCCTGCGTCTCTGACGTAGGAGCAGGTATCAAACCCTCGAAGGCCGCGATCTGACTTCCAATTCAATTTAGGTTGAATTTTCCGTCTCCAAGCTCCTTTCTGGTGGTAGAATAGCCCAACACCATCACCAACTAGACCACCGCGGACAGCTTTTTGAAGGGGGCAGAGGGCTTTTCCACCTCTCACGGAGCAGTGAAACCTTTCGGAACTTCTTTCCCCCAGGCGTTTCTCTGTGGATTTTGAAGGTGTAAGACACTCCAAATCAACTCGTACACAACTTCTAACAGAAATGCGACCGGGTTTATTACGCCGTAGGTAAGTAACCAGATATCCATCCGTCTCTCTAAAGCTCTAGGTCGTAGGAGTATCAATTGCAATTCTAAAACGCCTTATCAGTTCATATGCCGTCATCGTATGATCTACAGGCTTTGTTAATCCTGTTTATTATCGAGGCCATAATGTCATTACTTGTCAAACTTTGGAACGGTCTGGCTACAATATCTCTACCGCACGCTCTGAAAAAACATAAGGCTCCAAGCCGCTGAGACCCATTATTTACCTCATCTAGATAGGTTGACGAGAAATGTCGTAACGCCTCCAGTATTCTGACCCGTCAGCGATTCAAAATTGACCTGTCCCGTTTATGCATTTTCTCGGAGCGTACGGTATCCATCTTGCAGTTCGGCGCCACAGCAGGCGCCACATTTGATTTTAACAGTTTGGTAGGGCGCATTCACTGTGCCGCTTACATAAACCACCTACGCCTCATTTAACCTGGCAAAGCCTGTCCGCAATCGATTGACACTCTTATCGGCGATTGCCCGTTGCGCAGCTGAGTCATCATGGCCCAGGCCCAGGTTTTTGCCCATTCCCTCAGCCAAGCTGAGTCATCAAAGCCATGACCTACGTACTGTCATACAAAGTCTCCGTTTGCACGTGGGGAACCATAGAAAAAACATTTATGCAAATGGAGTACAGGTCAGAAAGTTATGCCAGATTCATAATTATGGAGGTCAGAAAATCCAGCGTGCGAATCTGATCCCAGCAATTTGAACGTGAAGGCCGCCTGCACCCCGGCCCCGACCCCGTACCCTCCGATCCCAGGCACCCCGACTACCTTGACCCACGCATACACGGTAGACTATTTGAAGGCATCGGGTCTGTGGGGTCGCCGGATGTTCACTGGAATTGCCGGCGGGCGCTTTGGGACATTTCAATTACAATCTCAATTACCGAATGAATTGATACCGGCAAAATCAGAAACGCACAGTGTCTTTTATCATTTTGATGCGAATTGTTCAGTGGGAGGGTGTGAGGAGAAGTGCTAGAATTCCTTGGCGGCTGCTGATGCGTCACTTGCTTTTCTCTCCCTTTCTTTCTTTCTTTCTTTCTTAAGAGGCGCCAGTTACTGTTTGCCGTAGTGGTGGCCTGCTGACATAATTCGGAGCACAAACTGGTGTCCAACACAGATGTATCTTGGACATCACATAATCTACCCACAACATCAAGATCAACGCTCGTTTTCTTTGGTTGCCTAGACATCAGCGGCTGGATTTCTGGCATAGTATCTAAATACACTATGGCCCATACTTTCTAAAAAGTCACAACTTTTTGCGCAACTAAACAGCGCATCGTTGTCCCTTCATCCTTATGCTGTACCCACTAAAGGTAGCAAAGGGGTGGCCTATCCGGGTTCGCGGCTCTTTGTCGCACCTGCCTGTGTTGGTGTTTCCGTTTCCTCCTCGTATGGGGAAGGTCCAGCATGAGTAAGGTCCACAGTCCGCGCCTTGCCTCGTGTTCCTTCCCAACAACACTGTCAGAAAATTATTAGCCCAACTTCCGACCTCCCACTCTGACCTCAAACATCTCACTTCTGAGAGATCATCATCTTGCAGCCTTTTCTTCCCAAGACATTCCAAGGCCATGGTATCACAGCTTCGGAAGCGAAACCTCCAACGCCAGACCTCTATCTCCTATCGTCCAGTCAGGAGCGCCAAAACTGATTCACTCGCTTCTGATAACTCCAGCGACGACGACGACAACAGCTCTGAGCCAGATCTCTTTTCGAGACTCAACAAATTCGCTTCAGAGGTCCAAACACAGTGTGACCAGTTCTATGATCGGTTAAAGGCGCTCGAAAAAGACGTCGCCAAGTCATCGGAATCTTCTATTTGTGCTGACCCAAGCGACGTCCGCCGTTTGCTGCCTGTCAGTCTGGTCCGCATTTTCATTCCCACGTTGCCGACTCCAGCCTTCACAATCAAGAGTAACATCAAAAGCATAAGGGGTAAGCTTGACAAGACCGCACAGGCATGGGATGTCGATCCAATCCACGTGTTGTTCGGTATCGTGTTCGATGAAGCAAAACAGGGCCAAAAGTTCTTTGTAGCTCTCCACGACTTCGCCAAAATCATTCAAGATTACCAGAAAGCAATCGACCTATTGTGTGAGCAGGCTCGCATTCGACGCAACGGGGCCTCAAAGGCAAGAAACGTTTTCGGCATCCAGCTGGGAGACGTTGTAGCCGCCATCGCTGCCGTCAAGCCCGAAGACACTGCTCGCAAGCCAACAAGAAAGGACACGGCCGCAGCCACCACGTCAGAAGAAGCCGAGGCGACCGATATCATCCATCCTGTGGAGCAAGAGCAGCCTCTTACTGCGCCAACAACGCCTGGTAGCTCGCAAGCAGATCAATCCTTTGAGTCCCCCGAACTCCCACGGGAGTCGTCTCGCAATCCATCCCGCAGTCCATCCGTCGACATTTCGGAAGATCTCGAGCTCGAAGACTTAATCCACAACAGCCTAGAGTCTTCGAACGTTTCGCCACCTCCTCCCTGCCAGTCGATTCAAGACGAAGATCAAGGGGTCACCGACTGCAATCATAGAGATATCCCAGCAGACCAAGAGACATTTCCAGCCGACCAAGAGCCTGAAGGCTCTTTCTGGGGCAATTTCGACGACGGAGATTCCGAGCAAGGCTCCCCCTCGTGCAGCCAGAACACAGTCTTGGCAGAAGAGGACGTTGACCATCAGCACAGCGAGGATCTGCCGAACCCCCACACTGACAACACCCGTAACGATCCTTCCTTGTCTCCGCCCGACGATTCTTTCGTGTACGTGAAGCTTTCGACTCTGAAACACGGAAGCGCTAAACACTGTACGATGACGGAGTGCGACGAAAGACCAAGGGGGCAGAAGAGAACGCGAGAGGCCTGCGAACTGGAACGAATCGCATCTCTGACAGGAAAGAACACTATCGTGAGAAGCGATTTGTTGAACCAAGCTTTGGAAGACGTGTTCAAGTTGCTGGCCCCTCACGTGTTCTTTGTGGGCCACGAAGTTGTCAAGTCGATGGTCGCAGGGCCTAGCCGACGCGAGACTCTACGACTCATTTCTCACGATGTTTGGAAGAGCGATTACACGTTTCTGTTGTTTGAATTCGAGGAGAGTCAATTCGGCTTGGTTGTAGTCACATGTGCAAGTCAGAAGGCTCAGAGAATCCAGCTTTTCGACCCAAACTCCTCACCGAGCCACATCGAAACCGTAACTTGCACCATTAACGCGTTCTTAAAGCACATCCTACCGACCACCCTCCCCAAAAAGCGTGACATTCGCAAATGCGGGATGCCTATCACCGACAGAGCTGAGGACAATGGCATCATCATTTTCGCCGCGGCCATGTGCCTTATCCCCAGCAACCACCTCCCACCAAAGCTCCATGTGGGATTATGGCGACGAGTTCTCACTTCAGTTCTCGGCGTGGATGTAAAGGACTAGTTGTCCTTGTGTTCACAGGAGGTTTTCAAACCTGCCATCATACCCTACCGTCCGCCCGCCCTTGGGGGTGAAAATATCGCACCCAGGACCGGGGTTGACCAGCTTGGAGCTGCCCGCGACGATATGGACACCTGGTTCGAGAACCAGAAACATCGCATCCAAAATTCGATAAGAGAACAGTCGGAATGCGCCGAGGCCATCCTTGGCACCGTAACACTTATCGACGAGTCACTTGATTATTTAATCAGAAATGCCCATTCTATCATCGGCTGCCTTGAAGTACAATTGGAAACGACAGCCGCTCTGAACAACCTTGAACACGAAGACTCCGAGGGCGATGTCCCCGTGGACATCTTCATGAATAAGCTAACCGCCGACATGGAGCAGATGAAGGAGACGCTTGAGCGCGTACAGAGCACCGAACAAGGTATCCAGAAACTCTATGAACGGGTGAAGAGATTTCAGGAAGGTGTAGAAAAAGAAAAAGAGGCTTTCAAACGAAGGTTCGGCTCAGATACATAGCTATGGCTTTGGTGGAGATATTTCGGCGTTAGGGACGAGAAAGGCTTGTCATGGGGTTGGAGGAATAAAGCTATCTTGCTTGATGAGTTATGTTTTATTGAGTCTGTTATCGGTCGGAAGTTGTTTTGTCGGATTAGCTTTGGGTTGACAGACTTACTTGTGGTAATCCAAGTTTACATTCAGCCTCAATCATGTTGTTGGTACATTGCGCGCGTCAAAACAGAACTTCGATTAGGCCTGTTGCTACATGCGTTCATGCTTGCCTGTATGCTAGCATGGATACCTTTGGCTCACAATTCCATCCCACGCCAGATACGCATTGCGCGAGTGTGTCACCGTAACAGAGATGTCTTGGAATTAATGAAGGTATTCGGAGTAGTCTGGTAACCGCTGGCATACATACATCAGAGGATTCTGAGGCACACTCGCGTAAGGGGGTAGTGATTAGGTCAGGCTTGGCTACCGCTCAGTCGCCAAACGGAGCAGAACAAAAAATGCCGATGAGAATATAAGAAAACGCCATTTAATTCATGCGACTACAGTAGCTAGTCCATCTACATGACGCACTTTCGTCTCTACTCTATCAGAGAGGTATGAGCAGCCCCAGGCGATGGGCCGGGAGCTTCGGGGGCGTCTCCGGCATCTACTGGTGGGGCACCGCCGGGGTACTGCCGGGAACCACGATAATGAGGTAAGCGATAAAAGGAGAGCGACCACACATGTAGAAAACCAGAGGGGACAAATTCGAATGGCAGTACCGTCCAACCCCCTACCTGTGCATTGTTAGCTCTATTGTTCCACACGACAACCCAGTCCAACAGTCATCAACAGAAGCTATTGGATCTATTGCTTTGAGCAGGAGGTAACTAAGGCGAGGCTAGGGTGAGGGATAGGGGAAGAACAGAATAGTCTCAATATTCCCAACTACCTAGTCCAGTCGTTGGTCGGATGTGGCGTCATTCCAGGCCTACTATGCAAGGATGTACTTTTGCCTCGTTCAGTGTTCGTACCATCTACTTCCCAGGACATGCCCAGCATTTGACCGCCAAGGAGCCAATCTTGGTACCCACCCCGGATCCGTATGGCTCTTCACCGATACTTGTTTCGTGTTGGGTCAGCCTCCTCTGCAGCTTTTTGTCCTTGGTATGCGTTTTGACCGTGTTCTTGATGAGGCTTTTATCCTGTTAGTAGTAACGTCCTTGGTGATGCTGCGGAAGATGATAGGTACATCGATGATAGTAAGGTAATGGGCCTAATAGTAGGCTATCTACTCCGTAAGGTCTTAAATGCTATCCCTAATTCGCACAGACGCTAGCAACTCTTAGTTTGACTAATAGAGATTATATGCTCTCGAACAGGGGTCTGTAAATCCAGGGCATTTATCAACATGGGTCTGAGATAATGATTATAAATATACGTAACTATTCGGCGAAAGTCTGCCTAAACGAGACATATAAACTTAAGGTGGTGAAAGTAGACCTACAGTCGCTAGTCGGTTACTGTGGGTCACGGGCGCTAAGATGTCGGCGTAAACTTAATTTAGCCGTAAACCCTAGTGCAACAATCAGGTTAGTTAGTGTAAGACAAAAGGTTGGATGCTTAAAAAGCCGTCGTCATGATCCCTATCAGTATCCAAGCATCTGTGAATATGGAGTTGACTCGCTTTTCTGTACCCAAGAGTTCTTCAGAACATCGGAGTCGCTAAAAAGATGCGGATTGAACAAAAGCACAGGATTAGGAAGAGCGAGATTCACATTTGCTTGATATATAATATCTGTATAGTATTTCAAGTGATATGTTTCTCGATTGGTAAGTAGATTATGACAAGTTCCTATGATGGGTATCTTAATGCCATACAATCGTATTTGATAATCACATCCTCAAAACATATCGTCCTCCAAGTACTTTGCAATAGAAAGGGGCAAATCCCTGTATGCCTCAATTTTCTCCTCAACAATGAGATGATGTAAAGTCGCTTTCTGATAACCTGGGACGTCCCAGACATCTGAGGATAGCATTTTCATCAGTTCTCCCGTTCCCCAAATTTTGCGGTAAAACCAGGCAGGGGCCACCAATTCTCCAGCCCGAATGCCATCCTCAAAAGCCTTCTGCACCTTCTCTCGACTGTGGGTAAACACTTCCGGTTCGGCGCCATTCTTTTGTGTCATAGCGGCGGCAATTTCATCCCCTGTAGGAGCGAGCTCAGATAAGGTGATAGTGCGGTTCTGGATTTGGGATATGTCGTTTGACGTAAAGATTGATGCATATCCAGCCCCTACATAATCTCTCGTACTATAAATAGTTAACAAACGTTCAGTCCGAGTAAATTGAAGAAATACGTTGCTGGTAAGGGATTTAAGTACTTACGTCATGTTTGCCTTTTCCTGGGCTGAGTTAATTGTGTGCACAATTCTATTTCGACCAAGGTCAACCCCCATTGCACTAGTAGGTTAAGAAGAATTAGCTGTCAGACGAGTTTAAAAGGGTGATGGGTATTACCAGCAACCGAGAGTGAACTCCGCAAAATTTCCAATCAAGATTCTGGTCATGGGAATGCCAGCATCTCGAACTGCTCGCTGCAGATCGTCCTTTTGCTTAATGATAGGAATAAGGTTTCCTTCTTCGCCATATTGAAGACCTAGATCAGAGGGCACGAAGAGCTTTACATTGGTCCTTGGTATGGCTTTGACGAAGCCGTGCTCCTTATCTACATCCCTGTCTCCCACCAGTGACCTATTAGAAGTATATTATTAGCTCAAGCCGTCAAGCCGGCCATTCGTCTTTAAAATCGTTGGAAACTTACAATACTATGTCAATAGACTGGAGTGCTTTCACTAAAGCATCTTCGTCAAAGACATCAACCTCAATCTTAGGAACACCTGCAGGAATATTGGAAGTATCTGACTCTGCACGATGCAGAACGGTGATGGCGGCCCCGGAGTCAATTAGGGCGGCAACAATTCGGGCTGTTGCCCAGCCACGATGGCCATAGACAGCAATTCGGTTCAGGGACATCTTTTTTATGAAAAATAGTAAGAAAAACAAGAAAACTTTCTTATAACATTCGAAAGATTGTTATGCTTCTTCACAGTATGCACAAAGGACAAGGTGCGATGAGGTGCCATATCTTTTATACTTGCTCTCATTCATTTGTAGCAGTTACAATCATCGATGTTCAAAATTCTTTCATGCTGGTACGTACTGCCACCCCCACACCAACCTTTCCATCAGTCTAATATTAACCCGTTAGTGTGTCAGGCACATGAGTCACGCGGCGGCCTAACTCTCTTACAGCAACTCATGCTTGACTAGCGTAGCTTTACTTTTCTCTCGCCTGATCGTCTTGCCTGCAGACATGCCCTGTGTACTACATGTTCATGTCTGTCTTTATAATGGCCTCCATACCAATCACCCAGCGCCACGGATGATCGAGATAACGCAATTGGCAGCTAGTTGGCTATCCCATCGACCGCGGCATGACCCCATTTTCGCTAAGGGAGGGGTAAAGCTAATCAAGGCATAAATGGCTGCTAGATTTGTTAACTTATGTACTTAATATTTCAGTATAGAATGTTTCTAGTAAAAATCTAGTGTACTAGAAGTACTCGCCACTTCTTATGGAACCTGACATTTAGAGGCAAATGTTATGTTTTCTATGTATCTAGTGTAATGCGGAGTAAAAATGGCTTTAAAAGTGGAAACTTGAGGACTTGGCGAAAATGGAGTCAAGCCGCGGTCGATGGGATATCAAGCAGTCCGACAATATGACGAAAGATTTTCAAGTTCTGGGATTGCTTCGGTATGTAAAAGGCAGCACACAGCCTGTGTGCACCCAGCTGGCCTCTCAATTGACAATGCCAGCATAACCTATAGTACAAAAAGGCGATATACATATTAACCAAACCGATGCTGGCCCACAATCGTTCCGGTTTCCTCCGTCTTATGCTCTCCAGTAGATGAATTCACGGTGTTGTTAAGATACAGTACGTCCTTACCACCAGATGAATCACAACTCGGTTCTACTATTGTTCCCCACCGTGAATACGTGTATCTAGATGTAACAGGGATTACAAGCTCCTTGGTCCATCTAAGCTAAACTTCGGCCGCAAGGTTTATGGGATCTCACTTTCAGGCCAGGCTGTGATTCATTTGTTGCTACGTAATACTATCATATTCAGCCACTTTAAAAATCTACATCGATTATGAGTCATAGCTAGTAAACTTACCTACCAACGGCAAAGGGTGGACTGTAGACAGAGACGTTTGTGAACTTATTAATTGAATATAAATACAGCCCTTTTGTCTTCGTATGGATGTATTAAACCATATTTTCAGGGCGCTTAGACTCAGATGGCAACTTAGGGGTTATTTTGTTTCTGCCATGGATTCCATCAACAAAAGAGTGAAGAACTATCTAGACCGACATGGATTGCCCCTTCAACGAGTTGCTCTTGATGCCGTAAGTCGAGATGGTAAGCCTAGTCTCTCAACTATCATAAGCTGTCGCTAAGAGTATCTAGGAGCCCTGTAGTATGCGAATTCATTTGGCGGCCACGTGAGTGAGAACGAAAATGACGTCTATTGGATCGCTTCTGCCACGAAGTTTATCGTTAATATCGCAGTTATGCAATATGTGGAGAAAGGTTTGTTGAACCTTGACGGCGACATCTCTACTATTCTGCCCGAGTGGAAAAATCCTGTAATTTGACAGGTTTCACCAACAATAACGAGCCTCAATTTCAAGCGTCGGAGCGACCTATTATTCTTCGGTACGTTCCTCTAAAACAATACTGCCTAAACTGCTAGGTGTACTGATAGCTTCCGAAAGACACCTCTTAACACACTCAAGCGGAATGGCCTATGCCTTTGTGCATGACCTAGCGGCCAAGTACCATACACTAAAGGGAGTCCCGCTTGTGTATCAGAAGACCATTGTAGGTCTTTGATCTATCGAGAATACTCACCGAGGTCTAATCGGATTCCTTAGCGAGATTCATTCCCAATTTTTCTAGTATCCCAACCTGGAGAGCAGTTCATTTACAGCCCAGGTATTGATTGGGCTGGCTTGATGGTGAGTTTGATTTGCATGCATTTGGTTTTGTAGCTGACTTACAGTGAGAAGGTCGAGCCTGTCACTGGTATGAAGCTCAGTAAATTCATGAGGAAGAACATATTCGAGCCTGTGTCAGCCCACGACGTGACATTCCATCTCGAGCAACGAGAAGACCTTCGGGCACGCCGAGTAACGCTATGGGAGAGAGATATGACCGACTTGAAAGAGGTGACTGATTTCTGGTGGCCCGACCCTGCTATTGATGACATTGGAGGTGGGGGTATCTACACCACTGTTCATGATCTTTTAAAGATATATCTTGGAGTCTTACAGGGCAAGCTACTTCACTCTACAACTCTCAAAGTTATGTTCAGTCCACAGTTGGAGAGTCGTAAGGGACTGGATGTACCGGAGATTTACAATGTCAACAGTCGCAACGCGATTTACAATTCCATTCCCAACGACATTCCAAGCGACTTTGGAATTGGAGGATTGGTTAATACTGAGAAGGTATCCGGTAGGCGCAGCGAATATTCGCTGACTTGGTCCGGAATGCGGAATTGTTACTGAGTGAGTTCTTGTTACAGACTTGCATGCCAGTTTTTCTGTCACAAACTTCTTACGGTGCGGATCGTTGCTGAAACAGTCGTAGTGGCTTGACATTAACAAGGGAATTGCGGGTGTGTATCTTTCCCAGCTTCTTCCTACTGGTGACGAGAAGGCTATCGAACTTTTGACTGAATTTGAGAAGGCGGTCTACTTAATTTTAGAGGAATAAACTATACAGAAATATTTTAATATTTATGTTTAGAAAATAAATATCTTTCATATCCTAATTTACATGTCTGTGACCTACGCCCAACCCGTAATTGCTTCCTAACTATAATGTATGTAAATCTTATATAACGTCGCACACCCACTTCTCGCACACCCCCACATTTCGCACACCCATAAATTGGGTCATCATGAGGTATTCATCAACTTCATAACTATAAGTCTGATTCGTCTCCTGCAACTGTGATACTATCGCCAGTTTTAATAGGTAATTCAGGCTCGCTAGATTCATCTGAGCTATCCTCAATTTCGCCAGCCTCAATTTGGGCTTTGTGAATTGCCTCAATGTTGGCAAACTTCGAATTTGGGCTCATTTGGACCTTACGCCGCTTCCGTACCATTCCAGCCTCAACTTCTGCTTCCAACATTGCAATCTTCTTCTCTGCTGTAGCCAATTGATAGTCCTTTTCATCAAATCCCTTTTGAACCTTCCGAAACAACAGTCGCTGCGTTTGCTGATCTTTATCCAACTTGCTGAATAAGCTAAGTTGATCATATAGATCAACTGTCTTCTTGGGCGTTGACCAGGCTACTATGGATGTAGCAGATGCCCAGTTTTCGTCTTTTCCACCATCAGAGGCCCTCATAGGCGTAGAATAGCCTGGCTTTGAGGGCTTGGAAGCATTCTCAAGCAGTAGAGGGCTCATGAGCGGTCGAGCTATCGAAATGGGCCATAGTCCTGTTGCTTTCCAGCCGCTTCTGATATTCTTGCTTGAAAATGCCATCTGGCGTGCTTTTCCATAGCAGGTAAGAAAGTTCCGTTTGCCTACAACTGTAGAATCGTTGTGTTGAATGAGGTATCCAAGCTCTTTTCGATAGGTCGCCTTGAGAGGCCCAAAGACTGCTTGGTCTAGAGGTTGGAGAACGTGGGATGTATGTGGCGGTAGGAAAAGGAGATATATCTTGTGTTTATAACAGAGATACATAAATTCTGTTGTTTCATGACTGCCATGACCGTCTAGGATCAATAGTCTCTGCTCAGAGGGATGATCAGGCTTAGTCAGAGGGATAAAGATGTTCTCAAGCCATTCCACAGCTGTAGAGTCTGAAGTCCAGCCATTCTCAGTTGCTGTGAACTTCCAACCACTGTAAATATCACGTTTATGGATATCAAGAGGAAACCATTGTTGTTGAACCGATTTCCCTCGATAAATAACAAGTGGAGGAAGCGCCTGACCAGTTGCAGAGACACACTCAAGCATAGTTGTCCAAGCCCGAGACCCAGGCTGTTTTTTTCGCATTGATGAGCTTTCTGATGATCCCAGTACTAAGCCATTTGATCCTCTGCCTTCTAGGATACCAGTTTCATCCATGTTATAGCGATGATGTGGTTTGATCGCCTTGATCTCTGGAAGGGCGAGTTGTTGAAACCATTGCCTGATTACATTAGTTGAGGCCCCATTGACACGCTTAGAATCGATGGCTCTAGCTCTATGAACCTTGATTGATGGATTTCTCTTAATAAAGAACTGAATCCAGTTTCTCCCAAGTGGCTGGGTAGTGCCTCTGATGTCTAGGATTCGCTGGGCAAATTCCTTGAGTTGTTGATGTGTTGGCGGCAGCCCTAACGCCGCCTGGATACGCACCCATTCAGCTAAGTGACTTTCCTGTGCTGGAGATAGCTTCTGGAAGCTAGAGAAAGCTACATTTCTTGCCTGTGAACCCTTTAATCGAGACTGGAGGGTTGATGGTGGAATTCCAGCATCATGAGCTGCCTTTCGGACACTCTGCCCACTTGCAACTGCATTGAGAGCTTGATTGACTTCTGTTTCCGTATACTGGCCCATTAAGCGTATAAGAGTAACTATTCAAAGAATTATAATAATCGCTGTAAAAGTGGTGAAGATATTAAAGAATGTTGAAGAGGGTAAAATTCTACATGAGCGATTTATGGGTGTGCGAAATGTGGGGGTGTGCGAGAAGTGGGTGTGCGACGTTAAGTAACTAAAAGAATAGTAAGAAAACAACTTTTTATAAAATAAAAGAATATGAATAAATCACACATAGTTTAAAAAAAACGTAATGATTTTAAATAAGCGCTTTATTAAAACCAGCTAATCATAGTAAGATGTGTTAGTAGAAGTTGAGGCTGCGAGTACTATCCATAGTACCATAGTCGAGGTAGTAACCCTAATAGCTAAAAGAATTTGCCCTCGTCCGCCAATATTAACGTTGCCGTCATGCATAATACCTGGACGTCGAATTCCTGCGTTACTACGCCCAGCTTGCGGAGTTTGGGTCGGAACGACCGTGTACCTTCGAGTACGATGTAGCACTCGTCCATCATCACGCGGTCCAGTGCTTGTCGTGTCTCGAGCCTGCGACGAATCCCGGAACCCCTTGGTGACGGCGAACTCGGGCGTGACGAAGAAAATAGAGGCTGCTTGGTTGTTCTTGTAGCTGATCCAGACGTGCGATTTGATGGCGGATACCTTGCAAAGCGCCTCCAAGTCCTTCCGTGGTGCCGTCAGTGGTGTGATGATGAAAATGCTGTCTGCCCAGCAGATCGCCGGCAGCATGAATGACAAGCTCTTGCCGCCATCCATGCCCAAGACCTACACAACTGGGCTGTGCCCGTTGACGATGGCCCTGATCACGTCCCACTGGTTTACGCTGAATGTAGCTACTTCGTTGCCCGTCATCTGCTGCAGCCGATCTACTATGTCTACCTGCCGGAGCCTGGCGAAGCGGCCCAGTCGGACCTCGAGTCGGACGAAGTCGTAGAGCTAGACTTTCTGCTTCGAGCTGCTGCTGCAGCCGATCTCCGCCTCTCGTCCCGGCTGGCCCCCAAGCATATGCAGGCCGCTCGTAGAACTGCTCGAATGTCCGCCTATACGTGCGCACGTGGCCGGTCGTCGGTACGTCTACGACCCAACCCAGCCGCCTCTCCCGGCACGCCGCGATGTGCCTAAATACCTAACCGTCTCCTTCCCTTAGCTATACGTTACGGTCGTCGCATAAAAACGTAAAGTCGTCGCGCGTCTCGCTATAGCCGTCTTTAATCGATGCCTATTAGATACGGGATAGCAATACGTAAAGAAGCTCCCCTAACTAGCTATAGTATCCTTCTAGGATGTTATACTTGCCTCCGCCTATCATACAGTCTGTAACTATCGTTCGCTGCGATAGTAGCAGCCTAGCCTTATTGACGCCGCCGCAGAGCATGTTCGATAGCTTGTCCATAGTGAACCTTACGCGCCGATACGATACGCGTTCACCTACCTAGTCGATTGCGCTAGTAGCCGGTGTGTTGTACTGAATGTGCATCCCGTACGTCCGTGTGTCGAGAATCCAGTCCATCGGCGTCGGCTCGGCCTCAGGGGCCCCGGACGTACGGGTCATAAACCTCCATACCATCCTTGGTATATAAGCATAGGGACCCTGTACGCTTTCGTCGGCCGTCTCCTCGCTCATATGGTGGCTAGACGTGTAACGTCGTCTAGCCTCTCCGTCCATGTCCTAAAAACAACCAACATGCGTGCGACATTGATAATGACTGAGTACTTAGTCGTGTAGTCCGTGATGTCGCCCCAGCCGCCATCGGCCCGGATGCCAGTGACTGCTAACCGCTCACAAAAGCGTTGTCTTGATGCCCTTTCCTGAGCTGGTGGTTGAACATACTGGCGAGCATGTTCAGCGCTGCCTGCCGGAGTGCGTCTGACGGCGCCTCACCATCCCTGCACACGGCGTCCTCGACCAACTGCTCGAACTCGTCCCATGTATAGCACTGCCTCTCCTTAAGCCGGTACAACGACCTCTTGTCATCCGGGAACTTCTGTGTCCGGGACCACACGTACAATAAGACCCTTCAGACGTCTTTGTACCACGCCCAGTGTCCTCCTCCATACGATTAGTAAACGGTCTGATCGGCTTGACGTGGGCTTCCTTCCGGTGGACCTCAAACAAAATCGCGTGGCCGACCTTGTTGGGTTTCAGCATGGCCCTTACCTGCTCAAAGACCTCATTGAACTAAGTCTACATCACCTGCAACACATCCTCCTCGGCCGCCCGAATCGGGGCCATGGTTTCGCAGGGCTGGCTGATGAGTAATCCGCCTAGATGCTCTGCCCACCCTACCCGCTGGAGCCATATGTTCGGCTCCAGCTTGTCGTTGGCTGCGCGAATGAGATCATTATGGCTTGCCCTAACCTGCTCTTTGTGGTCCTGCTACAGTCGACAAAGAGTCTGACCTTGTACCTAACTAGGCAAATAGCAATCAGACTAGAAAATGTATAAAAGAGTGGCTCGACGTAGCAAGAGGGTGTGTTCGGTAAGCGTTGACACTGTCTACCATCGCAGACCTTGTTTTGGTTCTTTGCTTTTCTGCTATATCGATATCAACTAGTTCTTGAATTGACGTATAGTGATTCATCATCGTCGATAGTAACTGGTTACTAGTCGCATCCCGCCAAGAACTTCGCGGAACTCGTCATCATTTCTCTCTGGTCTCATCACAAATGCCGTCTCCTCCATGAGGAAGCCAGCTCCGACAAATGTTAGCGGAAGCTTGTTGTATGCTATCACAGGGCCCTTGAGCCTTCCATGGACTCGCGTAGCCTTAATCTCATCAAAAAGGGGCTCATTCTCCTTGCCCTCCTTAGGCTGGACCGTCTATCGGTCAGAGTTTACGGCTATTCATACGCCAGTGACCACCGAGACGTGAAGGACGCTCAAGATAACCATGGCGTTGAGATAGAACGTTGGCGTGTTGTCTTCGTACGTGACTCCCATGTTGAACAGAAAGTATTGCGTGTCTTTCTTGAAAGGCATCACCTGCTTTGGCGTGCTGCTTGCTGGCTGAATCGCGTTTCGCCTTTTCCTATTCTTGAGCTCCAAGTCGGAAACATCATCAGGGTTAAAAACGTCACTGTAGTCTGTCGTCTACCTGCTGAGACCGGCTCTTGGTGTGGGTTGGGGACTGTGCATCAGCGTTACTACCCGCAGCCGAGGCGGTACTGACTGACGCTGTGGTTCTCGGGGCATCAGTGTTAGTCGGTGATGGAGTAGCCAGAACTGGAGATGAAGTAAACCAGGATGTCTTTGTCATTGTCAACTTTCTCAAGCCATCTAGGGTCAGAATCGGAGCCCCAAGTCTCCATCTCCTTCACATTGTGACTTGGAGTTGTCCCGCAGCTTGTTTCTGCTGGCCTTGCCCGATCGTCTCCCATACGTTGGCACGGAACTTGCTGCATTTATATACTCGTCTAACGGTGGCTTGGGCACGTCCGGGTCGTCGGCATTCGCTGGCAGCTGCTTTGTCGAGTCATCGTCTAGCTTAGGCCCAAATACTTTCCATTGTTGGCGTTAGCCTCATCAGTTTTTGGCTTGCTGTCCGTACTGGCATCTGCGTCCTTCGGTCTGATCACATTGGCCGCTATCTTGGGCGTGACGACAGCATAATTAAGCGTGACGCGGGTTTTGTTGTTCTCATCCACACCTATGATAAAGCTTTACACCCCCGCCTCGATGACTGCGTCCTTGTTCGCCATATCCCTCTCGTCCATGAACCTGTGGCAGTTGATCTTCTTAATCTTGAGCTGCGTGAGCGCCGTATTGGCAAGCGCCAGATCTGCTACCTTGAGACACAGCATCTTAGTCACCTCGCTAGCGTACGGCTTCGGTAGAATGTCGACGACGTAGGCAAAAAACATCTCATGAATCGGTATCTTGAGCTTGTCCATGGGCTGTAAGTCTAACTTTGGGAGCTTGGGCAGTACTGCTTCAGCACGTATTTTGTGTGTGGACTTTTGACTCTGAAATTAGACTTCACATGGCAATGAAGGCCATCTTGGTGCCGTTCATAATAAAGGAGCCCATAACGCATAGTATTTGCGCTTTCGTTGCGGCGTCTCTCACTCTCCGCACCGAAACTTTAACATCGCCGATCTTGACGTGATGCAGGAACGCCGGCGGCGATACTGGGAGGAAGTGAAAGGTAAGCGGAGATACTAGCAGTAGGATGTACGGAGGTGACATGGCGTTCTCGGGCGACGTCTGTAGGTTATGGACGCTTTAGGGAGAGTGTCGCGAGAGCCGAATTGCCAACGTGACCAGCGGCTGCCATCACCCAATGGTTGGTTATGCCGTGGGATTTGAGTATGTCTGAATGACCAAGCGAACGCTTGGCTTCAGTCAGAACAAGAAGCTCGAGAAAGAATCCAACACACGTCGATAAAGGCTCAAGCACCGGCTGTAATGGTTAATGTGATGTTGGATAAGAACCTCAACCGGGCACGCCTTGCTCTTCTGCTTTTTCTGCTTTTAAAAGGCCTATGTAGTCGTTCACCATGCTCTATGTGGCGATGATGTATGACTTTTTGTGTGTTCTTGGCTGGCTCAAGTTCTTCGGGTGTTGTGTAAAATAGGATTCATACATGTGTTTGGAATGAAAGTCAGAATGATGTATCTGGTTTGCATAATCAAGAATTCGTCTGTCTCTCCAACCATGAGTAGCAAGGTCTTGCTGAACATTCAAATATTCACTCGATACTAGATCCCAAAATCCGTCTATCCGTGTTGCATATAGCCTCTTCTAATTGAAGACTTTTACCTGGCCCATTAGCATAAATCTTTAATAGTGGTCTGCGAGAAAGGAGACTGATAAAGTATAAGAAAAGAAAGACAAGGTAGCAATAACACAAAGATGGCGTTCATACGCCGTCGACTAGACGCTGTACGCATGCATAGCGTAGTAGGCCACATCTATCGTAGGTTTGCTTTAAGTAGAAGGGAAACGACACGACAGAGTGGCACAGCGAGGCCAAACAGGAACAGAAAAGGGACAGGAGATACACGTGGGCTACAATTCTACGGCGGATGTTCACAGAGAGTCCACGGGTCCATTGTCAAGTCACAAATCGCGGTCGGCGGTTCGGTTTGTCCGAACTCGCTTGGGATCAGCATTATCACCCTAGACACGGACGAAGTAGGCACGGATGAAGCATTGGGTAAGATTAGCAAGGCTAGCATCTTCCTCTTCGTCAAGTACCTTTCTGTTTATTCATTACAGTGCGTAGCAACAAGGGCTCTCCGGTCTAGTCTCATATGCTTGAAATATCCAAGACTTCGTACGTAAGGGTGCGGGGTACATGGGAGGTTCAGATATAGCTAAACGAGGTAGAATAGAGGTGGAAATGAGGACTGCGAGTTGCGAGCGAGGGTAACGGCTTCTTTGAAAATTCTCCTCGCACAGATATAGGAGATGGTGTGTCGCAGCGGTTGGTTAGTGTCGATGATGCAACTTGACGCCGGAGGGGAGAGAGAGAGACCGCGTTCTTAACAGCTGAATCTGGTCAACGTCCCGCGATCCGCTGTGTCCGGCCGGTTGTGACCTACATCAGCACGCGTTCATGCAGCTCCACATTGTATCGCCAGTGCGATCTCGCGGCCTTGTCGATAAGACGCCGGGAGGCTGGGAGCTGTAGATAGATAAAGGCGATGCCGGTCTGTTATGTCGTAGATGCGGGTTCACGATCTCTATCACAGGAGAGACGACAAGGGCGGCCCCTCGGCAGCAAGGACAGTCATCTCACGAACGGATGCAAACACTTCAGGCGGATTTGGTTTGAGAGAGTGTAACAGAGACAAGCCAAAGTACCAAGCTTTACACTCAATAGCTTCTCATACTAAATATTGATGCGCTGAACCTGTTCCGGCTTCATATCTTGTCCTACAAATTGTGATGCCTCATTTGTACTCCTCCGAGACCACATGACTGACCCATCTCATCATCTCGTCGTAAGGTCTACAGAAAGAAGCTGTTGCCAATGGTACGCCAGAACCCTGCAGGCTCACCACGTCAAGCAGTTGGTGCAGACAGAAAAACACTCCTCCCCCGGTTCTATGTGATCTATCCTGGGGCTTGAGCAGAATATACATGGCGCTAAGATCCAATTACCTTGAAGCGTATGGTGCAAGGTTCACTTAGCTACCAACATCGCCTCTCAGCCAACATCCCTAAGAACTGCTGTCACAAGACGGCTACGCCTGACAAAAGGTAATGACATATTCACATCTCGCGGCCCGGCATAAAACCCTGGAGCTTGTTCCAAGTACCGCCTCCGTTGCCTCCTTCATGACTGGAGAAAAGTGGGCGTCGGAAGGGTGCCTGGAGGTTCTCAGATATCCCCCAAGACTGCGTCCACGGCAACAACCATATAGATACTCTGTTGGATGGGTTCGATGAAGACGGGGGAAAACGGCTAGGACCACGAGGTCCGCAGCGATTGATTTAGCGGCTGCCTTCGACGATCGGTAAGAGCCGTTCCGATCCCCAATCGAGGAGCAAAAGACCTACCCACGTGGGAAGCGAGGCCTCCCGGCGCCTACGGTTCGTGTTGGTGCTTTCCACTTCAAAGACCAGCACTAAGCAACGCAGTCAGAGCTCAAAATCCTCTTGGGAGGCCCCGTTTTCAGGAGAGTTGATTCGGCGCACTACGGCACGGCACGACGCGACATAATTTGGTCCATAACACCATACTCATGGTAAGTTCTTTCCGGCCTTCTGTTTGACGTCTCTTTTCTGTGGTTTCGACCGTACCTTCAACGTCGTTTGATGCCGACGTATACAGAAGATCATCGCCTAGCCACAGCACGACAACAAGGCTCATCAGCCCGGAACGTGGCTGTCATTCTGGCCAAGGACATTGCGCTGGAACCAAGGCCAATACTGGTCCTCGACCCAGCGTCCTAGTAGTTGCAGGACAGCCACGATCTTGTAGACCCCCTCGGTGGACTGCGTGGAGCCGATGAGCACCTTCTCCCATCGCCGAGTATATCCGTCTGCTGCCGCTCTGGTAATGGCGATGAAGTACCACTCGTGTCCTTGCACAATGACGCCGGGGAGGAAGGCCAGTCCCGTGGCCGCTGCTGGCGAGGGTCTAGCGGCGCCAGGGGAGGGGGAAGGCGGAGCATTGAAGGCAGCTACGTCGCCGTCCAGGGCTTGCGCGCGGGCGACCATGTCGTCAAGAGCATCCCACTGGGCAATCAGCCAGGCGGACATTTGGTTCACGGCTTCAGTCCACTTGTCCCCTGGCGTCTTAGTCTCGATGGAGATGGCGATGGGACGACGGAGGAGCGGCGGATAATCGGTATGGTTAACGGACTGAAAAGGTGATAGCAACGCGGCCGCGGTAAGACGGGGCGACTCCCGGTTCACAAAGACGCAAAAGTCCACCTTCTTATTGTGGTGCGATACTTTGCTGCCTCGGGCGTAGTTGGGATGGATCTGGACGCCGGTGCTGCATTTTGTCAGAACAAACGCTATCGAGGAGGAGGTAGAGGGAAGGAGGGCATGTAGGGACTTTCGTGGACTTACACGCTGCAGAAGCCTAGGCTGCTGGAATGTCCGAAGGCGGCGAAGAGGATCTGATGGTGGACGGCGCAATTCCATTGGCTTTCGAAATGCTGGAATTCGTAGCAGTCATCAGCGTTTGACCATATCCTCTTCACCTCGGACACGGAAGGCGTCGGGCCTAGGCTGTGGCGATCAGAGGTGGAAGACGACAAGGAGTCGGTAAAAGATCGGTCCTCGACCCATCTGAACACTCGACGATTTGCTCTGGCCTCTTCTTGAACAGATTCCTGGGCGCGAAACAGTCAGCAACGGATGTCACTGGGGGCTTAGAACGTGAAAGGCACGGATTGCTTGCAAGTCTAACCTTGGCAGTATGTGAAATAATGGCCGCGCCGCTCGCGAGTTTGTCAATGCCGGTTACGATTGCGTCGAGAGCCTCGGGCGGGTCGACGGGACCTCCGAAGCTCGTAGGACGAATGGCATCCTCCATGACCATGAGCATGCTTTGTTTTCGAGGGCTTGACCGCCGAGAGCGCTTCTTGCTCTTACTGGGCGAGGATCGGAAAGAGAGGGCAGTATCGCTTTGGGCGCTGCTAGCCAAGGACGCTGACGTTAAACTGTCGGCGTCGTAAGACGACAACTGGGTATTGTCTCGTGAGTCTTGTACGTGAGAGGTGGCAACCGTACGGAGGACCCTTGGGGTCGGATCAGCGTCCATGTCTTCGAGGTGGTGGTCGACACGGGCTCGTTTGGGGTTGGGGGAAGTTCCATCGACGGGGCTACCCGGTATATGTGCGATGTCGCCGTCTTCAGTATTTGCGGTGGCCATGTAGTGCTTTCTCTGGCAGGACTCGACGCTGTTCGGAGGCGAAAGGAGACGGCGGCCGACCGTGTCTTGTTTGGCAAGGGATGAACGTCGTCCTTTGCGCGGGTTCACGACGTTGTTGCAGGGCACCGAGGTGGGGATAGTCGACGCTTGCAATCCAGAGATCCAGGTCAGGATGCGGTCGTGAGGTTCCATTCGATGGACAAGACTCGGGCAATTGTGGCAGATAAAGACAGATGAAATGGATGTAAATCGATCTTGGGTGTTGTAATGTGGGGAGTTTTGGCCAACGAGTAATTGCTTCGATGACGTTGATCGTCGCGACTTTCTTCAAAATCAATCAACGCGATACGGAAGGCGTTGCTAGGGAAACGGGCAGGAGCTCTCAATTAGGCGAATCAGCCACACACGGCTTGACGAATGTGTGGCGCTGTGGCGTTGTGGCTAGTCCGCCGGCGGGACTTCCAGCGGCTTGTGGCCTGTCCCACTTCTTTTTGTTTCTCACCAAAGTGGGAGGTTGTTGCACTTGGGTGCGGTTAAAATAGGGCGTAAGCTCGATGCCTCTCTTTCTAATTAATCCATCTTATCCTCCTCTTCATAGAGAAATTCTAAGAAAGTATACTACCTATCTTCTGATTAATCAAAGGAATAAGTCGGATAATATTGGGTGAGTTCCTCCTGAAGTGTGTTAACCCATCCGTAGGATGCTATTAGTGTTTACCCGGTGTTCCGCCGGTTTGCTTATGTAAGTCAGAGTCTGAAACCAAGAGATGATTGATTACATGATTAGCCGATGATGTCCGGGGTAGCAGAATCTCTGCTTGCTGGTCCGATTTTGTAAGTCCATGCGCAATCGCTAGGATACTGAAGCATTCTGACGGCTGCCATTTTGTTCCGTAACAAAGGTGATTCCTAGGGTTAGCTAGGCGCATATACTCCGCCCTGGGCACTTAGTTGTAAAGGGTTGCTTTTTGAAGAGTGTCGCATTCCTAGGGCAACACTCCAAACCATGGCACAGGAACGGAGCGGGTCGGCGTTAAACATGCTCAAACCTGCTCTGCGACCCCGGCACATACTTGAATTGCAGATTCTCCAATGGCGCGAGTAATACGTCCGTGGCCGCGTCTGCCTGAGCACTAACGATGTGTGCCAGATAACCAACGTGCTTCTACTCATTGTCAGCCGAGAAGCAATACCTTACTTGGTCTGTACAGAAACGTAGCCCAGTCTAGCCAACCGCACTTGTATCGGCCGTCATGACCAACCACTTCCGGCTGCCCGGCCGGCACACCAGGCAGGAGCAGCCGCTTCATTCTCTTCGGTGGACTCAGGAATCTGCCGGGTTCAAGGAGCCCGTCCGGACATTTTTTCTGGTCCAGCTACTCTCGACGTGGTGCATCCGCATCTCCGACTTCAGCTTGGTCCTCTTCCTCGCAGAGGCGATTCCAGGCACGCTGCTCTACATTTCCTTCTATGGCCTGGCCAGGTCGCTGGCCGCCTTACTTCTCTCCTCAGAGGTTGCTAGGACCACAAGAAACCTGAGCCGCCTAAGAGCGCTTCAGCTGGCCATTGCTTGTCAACGGATCTCCGTCGCGACGTCGTGTCTGCTCTTCATTTTGCTTCCCGCCTTCTCTGCCAAGGCATTGCTTGTGCGCAACATGATCTTCGGTGTCTTGGTATTTCTATCTTGCGCTGAGAAACTCGGCTCGATCTCTACTACGGTGACGATAGAACGTGACTGGGTTATCGTCGTCGCAAGAATAACAGGGCTATCCAGACATTCACTCAATGCTTCTTTACGCAGAATTGAACTTTTCAGCAAGCTTGCATCACCCTTGGTTATCTCTTTCTTGAGTTTGCGGTCTATGCAGGCTGCCATTTGGGTAGTTCTCGTATCGAATCTTGGCTCTATGCTTCTTGAGTTTCGCGCAACAAGTCGCATGTGGGTTTCGGTACCAGAACTAGCTCTCTATGCCTTCAATTCGATACCGCTGGATGAGACTCACGAGACTTTAGAGGATGAACGAGAGGAGATGGAATTTCACACCGAAACAATCTCAAGCGATCGCATTGACGAGCAGCCTTTGGGCAGCAGCAAGTGGTGGTTACTAAGCGCAATTTATCCTTGGAGGGCATATTTCAGATCTCCAGTCTTCCTGGCGTCCTTCTCCAACGCCATCCTGTACTGCACTGTACTCTTCTTCGGCGGGCAGACTGTAACCTATCTTGTGAGCACCGGTTTCTCATGGTTTGAGATCGCTGCCTTACGGATCGCTTCTACTGTTGCAGAACTGATCGGGACAGTCATATCGCCAGCGATTATGGTCAAACTCGGACCGGTCAGGGCTGGCATGTGGTTCATGATATGGCAGGTCGTCTGCATCGCTGCGTTCGCCGGTAAAGTCCTCACTGCCGACATGAGGACCAAGACTGCCGGTATTCTCTTGGCGATTGGAATTACCCTCAAGAGAATCGGTATTTGTGGTTCGGAACTCGCAATACAATTCATTGTGCAAGAGGTAGTAGATTTCTAAACCTATGGACTGAGCGCACTGCCGTATGAAATGAACTAGTACTCACACCATTGATAGTCAGTACCCGCAACGCAGAGAGCGCAGTTTTCTTCCAGCGAAATGGCTTCTCAGAGTTTCTTCGAGGTCTTGTCGTTTGGAACCACAGCAGTCTTTTCTACCGCGCAAGACTTTAATTACCCTGTTCTGATAAGCTACGCAGGCATCATTGCATCCATGGTGTGTTACACCGCGTTCGCGAGAAATACTCGACATTCCATTCTATAATAACCGGGGATAGTTATGGGAAGGGTATACGCTTCGCATGCGAAGCAAGCTACGGCTGTCTTTTATAAAGTTCTAGGCCTAGTCAAGGTAGTATTAGACTAGAGAGTATATAATAACAAACGCAATACTATAAAGACTACTAAACTATTAGCTTATACTGATTAATTAAGAATTTAAAATATACTATCTTTTTAAATTTATAAACTAAAATAGTTAGAGTAGCTTATAAGTATATAAAAGAAGTTTTTTTAACAAAATGTAATTCTAGTTTCTAAAGTAATATACTATTTATTATTTAGTCAAGTTTTAAAATAAAATAAAAAATAGTAAAACTCTTTACTAATATTTCTAGTTACTTTTAAAAGACTATAAAAAAAAGATTTAGATCTATATTATATTACCTTATTAAAGAATTATTATTAGTAACTCTAATAAATTTTAGTATAAAAAGTCTCTAAGCTTAGGGTTACCTCTAAATCTATTTAAATATTAATATTCTTTACCTAGTATTTTACTATTCTACTTATATAAAAATATAATATTAATGTTGGAATAACGATAATCACATGACCGTACGACAAGGCTGTCACAGGCAAAGGGGTGTATAGGTGGCATGACTAGCACCTGTAACACCTAAATGTCTGAGGAAGGGATCATGGTTTATTACCTGTCATGCACGACTCGTGTCTAGGTATGGACAGAGATATATCTGTTCGTACGGAAGGCAACATCTAGTTAGGAAAGGTAATCACGGAAAATAGAATCTTTGGTTCACCCTACATTTATGACAGTACGATCGTACAGAGAGCCCATTCAACAATTAATAACTAAGCTACAAGTCTAGATTATCTAAATATTAAGAGAATAAATAATAGAAATTTAAAAATTATACTTTAAGTAATAAATACGTTTAAAATACTTTTTAAACATTATAAGATTTATATTTAAATACTATTTATAGTTTATAGGTTAGACATAATTAGTACTATACTATAATTTAATAGTTCAAAGTCTATTAATATATTATAACTTTCATAGTATATTAATAGAATTATTAAACTACTTAAACTTTATTATAACTATTTATAATTATTATAACTAAATTAAGTATTCTTATTTAGAACAAGTACCTTACATCTAGTATTCTTCTTATAAAAATAATAGATTTACTACTTCTAACTAGTTAGTAAATATACTATAATATAATAATAATATATATATATAGTAACTATATAATTAATATACTAGTAATATACTATTATTTTTATCTTTTAATTTAAATTAGAGAGTATCTATTTATTATAGTAATATAAGTTACTACTCTATGCGCGGACTATATATATAGGCTATGAAGGGTAGTATAATAAATTATTCTAGGCTAACTGTTACGACCCGTTGGACATGGTCGCCAACACGACCCCGCCTGGATCCCGGCGGCTAACGCAGGGCATATGTAACCCAGCCGACAGGTGTAACCAGGGATCCTCGGAACGGAAGAACTATGGACAAGTCACGTGGCCTCGGGGATAACGCGGGGTAGGGACAACCCGGGCTGGATATGTTGGATATGGAAAAAAAAAACATCAACAACAGCGAGAACGAAATTTTTGAAAATCGGAGCAAAAACGGCCCCAAATACGCGTGCTCGCGGCCACAGAGCCCCCTTCGATGCAATGCCATCCTCGGCCTTGATTCTACGTCCCAAAGGGGCCCAAGATGGCCGCAGAGCACGCCCCGACTACAATGAAAAACTTGAGAGCAAGCCGCAAAATACGACATATCAATAGACAACACTGTTACCACCACCACAGGCGAGCCACAAGCCGCTACACGAAGCACTAAGACTGCGCCCAAACAATCAACTTCAACACAACAGCCGCCGACAGGTTTTGGGTCACCTGTCACCCCCGACAAAGTTTGCAACGTCCCACAACGACGAAGATGAGTCCGACAGAACAGTATCACCTTCCGCACGGAGAAAGCACCAGGCATTAGGCATGCTACGATCGATGCCACACAATACTACAGACCACAGACAGACTGGTCCCCTGTCGCCCCTTTTGCGAAGAAGGATTGGTGTCCCTTCAACGCGCGACAATGTCTGCGGAATCTGTGCGGGAGCTCTCATACCCAGTAATCGAACATGTCGGAGTCAGTGGAGCATTGTGCTTCGTGGAAGACCCTTGGGCCAATGTGGTGGAGGGCAATAGTGGTCAACAGGCAAGAAACAAGAGGCCACATAGGAACCCGGCAGGAGGCAACAAAGAATTTACAGATGCAACTGAGAAAACGGCACATACAAGTCCGGGAGGATACGGACAAAACAAAGAGACAAAGCTGAGCGCTGGGGGGAGACTGTAGGTACAAAGAACCAGATACGGTGCTACCAGCACCAACTGAACCGAAGCAGGAGGACGCAAAACAAGCATTCTAGAGAGCAACACAAAAGCGAGAAAGCAGACAGGAGAGCAACACACTTCTTCAACAGAGGGCACAAACACACAGAATAGAGAACATAGTGGGGAGCTTGGGGATAGCTGGCCCTGATGCAACATCAGGGCGAAGTGGGGCGTCGCTGTTCATTGTCGACGCTTCGGCTACCTGCCAAACCCCGCTTTCCGGGCATAGCTGCTGGCATAAGAGCGGCTTCATAACCGAGTAGGAATAAATCAATCAATCAATCATATGTTGGATATGTCAGATATCCAACCGATCCCCGGATATGTTGGATATGTCAAATATCCAACCGATTCCCGGATATGTTGGATATGTCAAATATCCAACATAGCCAAGATAAGGAGGACCGTTCAGGACTTGTATATAGGATGGACTCGAGCCGGGCTCGAGGACAGACTTCCATAGCTCTTCAGCAATCAACTTTGTAATTACCCTAACCGGTACTTTCAGCTATACCTAAGTGACGACTACTCTACGACTCTTGTTGAGGCCTTGACTGATCACCAAGACCTTTGAAGATCTACGATCTATTCGACCAGGACCACGGAACGACTGTTACTACTCTCAATCCCTGGCTTACTGTTAACACAAACCCACTGTCAGTTAGCTGGCCGTAACACTTTGATTGCTCCTGTTCAGTAAGTCACCTTTTGAGAACTACTAAACAGTATAGACAAGATGTCTTCTCGCGCTTCTGCCAAATCACCCACTCCAGGATCCTCATCCTCTTCGCGCAACCAGCCTCAGAGCCTCGCGCAGGAGCCCGCCAACACTGAGGACTTCGACATGCCGGACCTCAAGTACGACTCCGATGGAGATGGCTCTTTCACCAAGGAAAGCTACGATAAGCTCCGACGCATAATCCAGAAACAAGAAGCCGAGACAAAAGACATGCAGAAAATCGTCAACGAAAACCGACAAGCAATAGAAAACCTCAACGAGCAACTCCAGCACGCTGGACAGGCCTACAAGAAGCTGGAAGAAGACATCAAGGGGGACGCCAACCTCCGGAAGATCCAGGAACTCCAGGGGGAAATCACCACCCTCCGGGCCGCCGCTAACATCGTCACCACGCCCGTCCACGGAGGACGACAAAAGCTCAAGCTCAGTGCGCCTGTCACCTACGACGGAACCCCCGGGACCCTCAAAGGATTCCTGATTCAGGTCAAAAACTACTAGAACTTTTACTATGGAGATTTTACTAACGAAACCGAAAAAGTAGTACACGCAGCCACCTACCTCCGAGGAAAGGCCCTCAAGTGGTTTGAACCAATCCAGGAAGAATACCTCAAATGCGAGACCCTCGACGAGTGCACTACCGAGACCCGCGACATCTACGCTAATTTTAAAGGATTCGAGGATGCGCTCAGGTCACTCTTCCAAGACCCCGACGAAAAGCGACAAGCCGAACGAGATCTGGCATAACTTAAGCAGACTAAGTCCGCCAAAGACTACTCCGCCAATTTCCGACAACTTAGCGTTCAACTCGACCTCACCGAGGAAACCAAGATCTTCATGTTCTATCAAGGACTAAAGGACGAAGTCAAGGACGAGATCATCAAGATTGATCGACCTGACGACTTTCTCCAGTACGCCGAACTCGCCATCAAAATCGACAACCGGCTTTTCGAACGACGAAAGGAAAGAGGCGAAAAACGACAAAACCCTAACTCAGGACGCAAGTACCAGTGGCAGCCTCAGCACCAGTTCAACAACCAGCGAAACGACAATAGACCCCGCAACAACTGGAACAACCCCCGACAAAGTACTGCCTATGGTCACCACAGTGGACCAATGGACCTTAGTGCTACACAGAGAAACGACAAAAAGAACGACAGTTGGAAGAAAGACAGACAGTGCTATAACTGCCAGAAGATTGGATACCTAGCATACGAATGCAGGTCACCCAAGAAGGAACGCTTCCAACCGGTACCAGAGAAACGACAAGCGAGTATCGCTACGAAGACGATCCCTCATGAACAACTTAATTAGACCACCTGCTTCGATGACAACTGCCATATCCACTCTAGCAGTAAGGAACACGCAGGATGGTACCCCCAGAAACCTTAAGAACGATCTGGTTACGACACTACTAACGTACCTAAACGGACCCTCGCTGCGGGATATAGAAGCAACAGCAAAATCGAGCGCAAGACAATCGAACGGCTCGACAGTATGAACGACAACGAGGAATTAGAATAAGACAATCAGCGAAGGCTGAGCCTCCTCTACGCAGGACGACAAGCCCACCTGCAGCGGATTCAACAGGACTCACAAAACCCTATGTGGCAACGACAACTCGGTGCGCTGGACGCACACATCGAACGACGACAACATGCACAAGGAGATCCCGCACGGATCCGCCAAATCAACTAAGAACTGGAAGAACAGGTCGAATCAGAAACGACCAAGAACACCCCCAACGACTCGGAAACACCTCGCGATGTTGCCCGCCAACATGCCCAACTGGAAGTCGCCTTTGAAGTCGCTTCAGTCGACGACACCAGCTCTGGAGAGGACTCTGACGAAGAAATACAGTGGTATCACTGCTACCAAGACCAGCGCCGAGTCCACTATATCAAGAAAGACGAAGCATGGAAGAAACAGCAAGAAAACGACGAACAAGGAACGGACGAGCAGTCAAAAAACTAGACTCGCCTACCGAAGACAAGGGACAACGACAGGCAGTCTAGACAAGGTCCCTATGTAGCGCAACGACGCCTACGACACAACGACACGAGCATGTACAAGTCCAAATACAGCTCAACGGAAGAACAGCTACCGCCATGATCGACAGCGGAGCCCAAGGAAACTTCATATCACCAAGAACGGTGAATGAAAGAAAGATAACCTGGAAAAGAAAAGCAGCCGAAGACTGCTACGAACTCAGCACCGTTGAAGGAGAACAAGTCCAGTACGGCGGAGGACGCATTGCTATGGAGACAGCGCAACTCCCTTTGCAGATCCATGGCCGGAATAAGCGACTGAACTTCGATATTACGGAGATAGGAGACAAGTACGATGTCATCCTTGGAAGACCATGGTTATACGACAGTAACCCACGGATAGATTGGAGAACAGGCCAACTCCATTGGGACCAGGATTCAGTCACTGAGAAGCAACCACGGAACGGTGCCTCAAACGAACCTCTCAAGACTCCTGAAGCGAAGAGATTTCTAGCATACCTACGGATCAAGGATGCAAACGCCAGGACGTTATCAGCAACAGACATCGGCAAGGAAGACCGACTTCTGTCTATCCCAGAAGAATACCGGCAATACCAGAAGCTATTCGCCGAAGAACTCGAGACCGGACTCCCGGAACACAGCAACTACGACCACGAGATACCCCTTAAGGAAGGGAAGGAGCCAAAGCTAGAAGCAATCTACGGACTCAACCAGAAAGAAATGGAAGCACTCGACGCTTACCTCGAAGAAAATCTACAGAAGGGATACATCAGACCCTCCACATCACCAGCAGGATACCCAATCCTGTTCGTACCAAAAAAGAACGGCAAACTACGACTCTGCGTCGACTACCGGAAACTCAACGACATTACGATCAAGAACTGCTACCTACTACCGCTCATCTCCGAACTACGAGATCTACTGCACGGAGCCCAGTGGTTTACAGCACTCGACCTAAAAGGAGCCTATAACCTGATCCGGATGAAATCAGGTGAAGAATGGAAGACAGCGTTTCGAACACGCCGAGGACATTACGAGTACCTTGTGATGCCCTTCGGACTTACCAACGCACCCGCGACATTCCAGACGATGATCAACCACGTCTTACGAGAATACCTCGATATGTTCGTCGTAGTTTATCTCGACGACATCCTAATCTTCTCCAAGACTCTGGAAGACCACAAAAAGCACGTACATCAAGTGCTACGGAAACTACAAGACGCCAAACTCCTAGTGGAACCAGAAAAAAGCAAATTCCACACCCAAGAAGTCGAATTCCTAGGCTTTACGATAGCCCCTGGAATCCTCAAGATGTCTAAAGACAAAGTCGCAGCAGTACGAGACTGGCCAACACCACAAAACGTCAAGGATGTGCAATCCTTCATCGGATACGTGAACTATTACCGACGATTCCTAGAAGGATACTCAGACAAAAACGACCCCCTCACGAGACTTTCGAAGAAAGATATCCCATGGCAATGGGAAAAGGAACAAGACCAAGCTTTTAACGAGATCAAACGACAAGTCACATCGGAACCAATACTTGTTATACCAAACCCCGAGAAACCATTCGAAGTCGAGACCGACTCCTCAGACTACGCTATAGGAGGACAACTAGGCCAACGAGACGACGAAGGACGACTACACCCTTGCGCCTTCTTCTCACGCAAGTTACACGGCCCAGAACTCAACTACCAGATACACGACAAGGAACTTATGGCAATTATCGAGGCATTCAAAGAATGGAGACCGCAACTCTCAGGGACCAAGTACGAGGTCAAAGTATACACCGACCACAAGAACCTCGCACACTTCACCACATCGAAAGATCTCAACAAACGACAAATTCGATGGTCCGAATTCTTGTCAGAATTTAATTTCAGAATCATCTACCGGAAGGGCAAGGAGAACGGCAGGGCCGACGCCCTCAGCCGACGACCGGACCACGAGGTCCAGGTACCTGAGGAAACCCGAGTTATCCTCAAAACAGACAAAAACGGAGACCTTGTGCCAGCAGCCAGACTCTTAATGATGGCCAGAAGAGACAGTACCAGCACGCCTGGAAGGATGTCTCCTGAAGCCATTAGGGAGATACACTCCGCACCCGCACACGGTCACCAAGGCGTAACTAAGACATGGAAACGCATCCGCCAACACTACGACAAAACGGCTACACGACAAGAAGTATCTTTAGCGATTAAGGACTGTGAGGTTTGTGCGAAAAGCAAACCCAGCCGACATCAGCCTTATGGAAAGATACAGCCACTCCCAGTACCGCAAACCGCATGGGAATCTATCTCGCTGGACTTCGTCACCAAACTACCTAAGTCCCGAGAACCAATGACTAACGTCTACTACGACAGTGTCCTCGTCATCGTCGACAGACTCACAAAGTATTCGTACTTCATCCCGTACATGGAGTCTAGCACTGCAGAAGACCTCGCCTACAAGTTTCTGCAGGTGATCGTAAGCCAACACGGAATGCCGAAGGAAATCGTATCCGACAGAGACAAGCTGTTCACTTCCAAGTTTTGGAGATCCCTGATCTCGCAGCTAGGATCCGACCACAAGATGTCCACCGCTTTCCATCCGCAAACCGATGGCCAGACAGAACGAATCAATCAGATCATGGAAACCTACCTACGCTGCTACGTCAACTATCAGCAAGACAACTGGGTTCAACTGCTACCTATGGCCCAGTTCGCCTACAACAGCGCAGTAGGAGAAAGTATAAAAGAATCACTATTCTATCTGAACTATAGATTCAACCCAACAGCCTACGGACAACCTCGACAAGGCCCAGCAGCTCTGAAAGCTGTGGCAGACATCAACAGACTTAAGGAGATCCAGCAGGAACTCCCCAGAGACCTCGAATTTGTGCGCGAACGCATGCGCAAATACGCCAACAAATCAAGAGTTGAGGGACCAACTCTAAAGGAGGGGGATAGTGTATACCTTCTCCGCCGCAACATCAAAACAAAACGACCAAGCGATAAGTTGGACTTCAAGAAACTTGGACCCTTTGAAATTACGAAGAAGGTATCCAACGTCAACTTTAAACTCGCACTACCCGACAGCATGAAGTGTCATCCAGTCTTTCACATTTCACTTCTCGAATCAGCACCAAAGGGATCGTATACTACGGACTATATCAAAGTAGATCCAGAACAAGAATACGAAGTCGAACGGATAATCGATCACATCGAAGAACAAAAAAGTATCCGCTACCTTGTCAAGTAGAAAGGATACGGACACGAAGACAACACATGGGAACCACCTCAGAGCCTCGAAAACGCACAGGAAGAACTCGGACGTTACTGGAGACAGCAAGAACAAGAACAACAAAGACAAGCACCAGTACGAATCGAGAAACAAACGCCAAAAAGTCAATTTCGACTACGACAACCACAACCCATCATCCGTCCACCACGATCAAACAAGCCACGGGATAAACACCCTCTCATTCGTTTAGGAACCCCAGAGCCGCCTAAAGGAACCCACTAAGGGCCTCCAACACCCCCAGGAGACGCTTCAGGAGTACTCCGCCTCTCAACAACCGACCCTGAATCCAACAAACCAAACTCAGCCAACAAGGATGGCGACAAAGCGACATCCGGGTACAGGGTATCCCAATCCGCTGTGAACTCCACCGGCAGACGAGGCGAATCAGCCGAAGGACGAACCGGTTCTACCCGACGCTGCTCTGCCTCTGCCTCCTCTCTCTCAACACGCTCTAACTCCTCCACACTGTCGATACCACGGCGCACCGCGCGCATCATCTTTTCAAACCACATCTTTTTCTGCTTTCGAAGACGCTCTACTTTGGCGTCCAGAGCACGACGCTCCTCTTCTGCCTTCTCCAAAGCATCCTCAAGCTTCTGATGCTGATCACCAATCCGACGAAGTTGCTGGGCACTGAGACCCTGAAGGTCGCAGTAAGACTTGCCGCCACGAACGCATTCGGCGCATCGAGAGGAATCAGAAAGAGAAGCTTCGCACGACGAAAAACCCTTTACCTCACAGGAGGAACAAACAGGCATGACGGTACGATTGCCCAAGATAAGACTCAAGAGGGAATCGCGCTGCTTTGTCTTTTCCGCACGAGAATCGAACGATCGAACGACCTTTCGTTTTTTGACGCGACCTGACATGATGTGAGCATCATTAAAGGAAGCAAGTTGGGCGCCCTCCCACCTGAGGGCAGACGACCTACTTAAGCTGGTCTTGAGGACAAGACCCTTGGAGAGGAGACCTGATGTTACGACCCGTTGGACATGGTCGCCAACACGACCCCGCCTGGATCCCGGCGGCTAACGCAGGGCATATGTAACCCAGCCGACAGGTGTAACCAGGGATCCTCGGAACGGAAGAACTATGGACAAGTCACGTGGCCTCGGGGATAACGCGGGGTAGGGACAACCCGGGCTGGATATGTTGGATATGTCAGATATCCAACCGATCCCCGGATATGTTGGATATGTCAGATATCCAACCGATCCCCGGATATGTTGGATATGTCAGATATCCAACCGATCCCCGGATATGTTGGATATGTCAAATATCCAACCGATCCCCGGATATGTTGGATATGTCAAATATCCAACATAGCCAAGATAAGGAGGACCGTTCAGGACTTGTATATAGGATGGACTCGAGCCGGGCTCGAGGACAGACTTCCATAGCTCTTCAGCAATCAACTTTGTGATTACCCTAACCGGTACTTTCAGCTATACCTAAGTGACGACTACTCTACGACTCTTGTTGAGGCCTTGACTGATCACCAAGACCTTTGAAGATCTACGATCTATTCGACCAGGACCACGGAACGACTGTTACTACTCTCAATCCCTGGCTTACTGTTAACACAAACCCACTGTCAGTTAGCTGGCCGTAACACTAACGCTCTACTTACAGCCTAAGGCTAAAATAAACTAGTAGATTTAAAGCCTGCGCGTAATAAGACTATTATTATAAAATAAATTCTTAGAGATATTATAAAATATATACACTTTATACTATACTATTAAATCTAATAGGACTTTACTACGAATTCGTAGTAAAGTTATCGCAAACTTACCAACTACCTAATTAGAATAGAGGATTTACTACTGTTTCGCTACGATAACCCCGCCTACAAGGGGTTGTCTCTACAGCCGCGGAGATAGGGGATACACACATATCCCATCAGGGTCCAGTTGGCTACAGCTACATATTCCCCAATTTATACCCACTCTTTTCCTTCATATCAGAGGTACATAGCTGTAGGCTAATAGGTATCATGTTTCCCAGGCTGCAATCATGTAACTCTGATAGCGCAAATACCTTTGTCAAAGCCAGATTCTGTACATTGTGTTCAAATTAATTATTTGGGTGGTTAAACAAGTCTTGGCTACCCTCCGAGTGGCTAGATCTCCTTACGAAGATGTACCTGTAGGTACCTGGACCTCGACGGGATACACACACATTAATTTACTTAATTGAACCCCATACTTCGCGACAACTGATGACACACACTATTATCTCTGCTATTCAAAAATTTCAGCACAGCTCTGCTACGCGCGAGTGTCTTAAGACTGCCGATTTCTTGCAAGCGGAGCGTTGGCCCGGAATAATCCGGTGCGCCACTCTCCACGATCAACTTCATGCGGTCCGCGCGTACAACCATAACTAGTATCGCCGCGGTCCATATTACCCTTTAACTTAACAGAGCAATTCAGCTATCGTAGAAGTACGTATAAGACTGCTAATTGTTAAATATGTAAATGATGTGGAGCTCCTAGACTTGTTGCGACATTTGTCCCTTCCGCGCCTAAATACTAATCCGACATAATCCATTATCCGCAATGTCACATTACTAACGTCTAGGCAGGTATAAAGGAGATCCTACGAAGATTCCCTTGGCGTAAGCGCTATAGAAGCCTAAAATGGTAGGTAACTTGTGTAATCCGAGCTCGCGAATCGGAGGATAGATGCCAAGAAGCGGTTAGGTGGGAAGCAAGTCCCCCGAGTGGCTGCTACCCCTCACAGAGATCGGGAAGGCCCGAGGCGTTAGCCACAATACAACCCTATGCCAAGGGCTGCGCCCGCGATAGCCTCATGTTGTCTTCTTCCGCCAAGAGACGATGAATGCAATAGGCCTTTGAAATCCTAGCAAAGGAACGCATTGCAACATCATGATTATAGTATTGCAACATCGTATATCATTTACCCATTCAAAGGAGGCTAGTACACATATCCACTCTCGCTTTCAACCCCTGAAGCTTTGGAAACAATAGAGTACACGAGAAGCCAGCAGAGGGAGTCCGAGGAGAGTAGCAGCAGACGAGACTAAGCGAGATGACTAGATGCAACGACGAGATGTCCAAGATTCGGTGATTGAAGTGTTCCAGAAATGTATAAAAGGCTCGCTCCTGCCTCTGTCTGTGGAAGCTTTTGAACTTGTCTCTATCCACCTCAACACCTTCGGCCTCACAGCAAAGAAACCAATCCAGCATCAAGCATCCCTCACAGCTTCACTCTAAAGATCAATTTCTCCATCTTTATCAAGCAAAATGAAGTTCATCGCCGCTGCCAGCCTTGTCTCAGGCCTGTTCGCAACCGCCGCCTCGGCCATCGACCTGCACCTCGAGTTTGCAGGCGGCTGCAGCACCAGCGGCGGTGGTGCTGTCTGCTGGAACTGGAACCCCAACACTTGCTGCAGCGTCAACGCGGGTACCTACTTCGCCAGCGGCTCGTTCAGAGCCATCCCTCGCAACTGGAACATCCAGGCCCGTGGCCACGCCGGGCCTAACTGCGGCGCCGTCCGCGACCAGCAGGACAGCGCCGCCCGCGACTACGTCTGCCTAGGCAACGGACCCTTTGGTGGGCTGGGCTACGGTTTCAACAACAGAAAGATGATCCGCGGTGAGACGCTGGACGCTCGCAATGGCGAGGAGACCGATGGGTGCGCCCAGCCTGACGTCCTGTACCTCGCCGACGGCACCCAGTACAACTACACCGCCATTGTCGAGACTGGCCAGCCCACCGAGGAGCTTTTCTCGCTTATCAAGGCAGGCGCATCGGCCGAGGACGTCACCGGCTTTGACGCATTCAAGCTCGAGGAAAAGCTCGCTCTGTAAACATCAGACGTGACTTCAGGACGCATCCCACTATCACGCCCTCCCCAAGCCTTGCCTAGATGTTTATTGCGAGTGCTTCAGTTATTTATGCAGGATATGATGCGGCCTAGTGCTTGGTATTAAACCGGTTTAGGCTCTTCCTTTTTTGTTAGGGGGCGGGGGTGGCTTTTTCTCCTTCTTCATGTGCTTAGCTTGTCTGAGTATACTTAAAAACTACTTTTAAAAATTGCGGTAGATAAAGCTTTGGTACCTGGATAATAAAAGACGAGACCTTTATTGCTGTAAGCTTCCTAGTAACCGACCGCTGCGCCCTATGGCTACTTTCTTGTGTCTCATTATTGAGCTGAGTGTGACTGCTGTAGCTATAAGATGTGCTATTTACCTATACCGCTATAGAGAAAGCTGTGGCTTCCTGCGACTGGGGGTTGAAGAGTAGTGTATAGTCACTATTGAATATGTTCTATGATCTAAGCTGCATGTGATAAGCACTGAATGGGGTGAAAGTGAGCTGTTGTGGGGTAGTCTTCGATTTTGGCTGCAAGGTTGTCCTTGTACCTAGCTACACCTCTCCTGGACCGTTGCTAGCGGCGGATGTGACTTTTTGCGGCGCCTCGGCTTTCAAGTCATTGTCGACTGGGGGCATGGCAGGCTTTCTGGTCGTTTCCCATATTAGAGCCCGAAGTCGAAAGACCGTCTTGTAGTTATGGAAATTGCTTACATTCTGAGCAACATCAACCAGCACCGGCTTTTTTGCGCCTGTCGCGTCTCCGGAGCCGAGTCACCATCCCTGTTGGGGGTTAGAAGTGGTTTCTCAGTCGACTCAGCCAGCGCCTTCGGTTTCGACTCATCATTGCTGTCGGGGGTTAAAGTAGCTCTCTTGATTAGTTAGCCCGCTTTTCCGGCCCAGAATTGTCGTTGTTATAAATTAGCTTTTTGCTCTGCTCAGGTTCAGCAGGGGCCGAAACTCCGAGAAGATCACATTCAGTAGCAGATAAGTCCTTGGTATCAGTGTACGATGAACCACCTTTCATGCCCTCTCTGAGGTCCACTATGGTGGATCCATCGTTGGTGAGAACATTGAGTCGCCTGCCAGGATCAATAATAACAGCGTCGTCGATGCAGATCTTCTGGGTGTAAGAATTGAAGCCCTGGCCTATTGATGAATTAGCCTTGTCAAGCCCGCATAGATTTGACCCTTCCCGCCTGTCTTGATGCACAAACTCAACAGGGAAATTGAAACTGACCTAGCCGCATGGCGCTGTTGTAAGGCGCGATAAGCAGACCCATGATGCCAGGTCCGTATACCAGATAGCAAATAGAGGTTCAGTCAGATGCTCCGAAGTAGATGGTACAATTCAAGTGACTGATATTCAATGTTCTTTTAGTGGTGGTTTATGTATAAAGGAAGGGCTCAAGGCATTGACTTGCAGTACTCATGTTAGCTGCTGCGTCTAGAACCATGGTGCTATCTGGATTCCAAGTAACTCGTCGATCACGACTAATAGACTCCCTGCGCTGATCTGGTCGCGCGTGAGTTATCTCTTTTGCAGCTGAGATCTGCTCGATGGCGCCCCGCCTTAATATTCAGCTTCAGATTTTACTTTTGAACAACATTGGTTGTTCAGCCGCCAATACCAATTGGTAGTGTAGCTGAAGACATGAATACCGGTAAGTCAGCCCAAGTCAGAAGAAGTAGCAGTCAACTCGATAGAGTAGACCATGCAGGTCGCTCATCTTGCAAGTGCCGACGAAAGGTGATTAAGTTGATCTTAAAGTGATCTGGAAAAAGACTGAGCACAAAAGTTGAGGTTGCAGCTGAGAGTCTCGGAGCCATTGAGCATGTAGAAGTTCATGACAGCACGACCATTACACGCGATGATGACACACCAGCTGCAGCACACAACATCTTCTCAAGCGGCCATTGCGGATGTAACAGCCAACCGCCCAGTCCCTCAGCAAAGCATTGCCCTCCTTGCAGCCAACAAGCAGCTCGTTATCCTACTATGGTCTCTAAGAAATAAGCCTCGCACGCCTAGCACATTAATTCACTCTCAAATGTGCGAAAGGCTAAACCCCTGAGGCGAGACATCACTCTGGGACCCAAACTGAATTCAGTCTGCAAAGAGACTTTACTCTCTCGATGATAGTGAGCTCACTAGATTCCAAAGTACTTGGTTTAGTAACATCACTACTTCATAGGAGCACGTGGGCGTGTCCTTTGGTATTACAATATGGCGCTCTTTCTGAAAAGCAGTATGACAGGGGTTTATGATCGTGATATGATGGGGAAAAATAAGGCTAAAAAGACCCAAAATACTTCATTTCTAAGATGCCAAGCTCATCTGCGTTTGATTCTCATTGCTATGGGAACGCAAGATGTCCATTACATCCTCATACCGAGCCGACAGTATCACCCTGAAGAGTCGCCCGGCCTTGTCAAACTGCAACTCCGGACTATCCGCAGTAAGCTTACGATAGACATTTCAAAGTTGGATGTGGCAGAGACTGTGACGAATGCGTTCGAAACCCCCTAGTCAGACCTCGCAGACGATCATCTTAACTTGTAGTTAAACATGTGCCACGTGGGTGGCTGAGATATACTTAGAATAAAAGGTCATTATATTCTAGACTACGAAGACCATCGCCCACTATGGGTTGATGTATGTACTACACAACTACAGGAACTTGAAAACTCTTGTTGGATGTATAAAATCATACTGCCACTCCTGCAGTTAATACGCGCGCCGTGGTTCTGATATATCGAACGAACAAGCATTTCTAATCACATTTGAGTTCTGTGCCGGGATTCATACGAGCAAAGCTGAAAGAAGTGTTGGAAATGTGACTGGAAATGCCGGCAGTATTCAGCACCGGCGGAACAAGATACTGCAACTAGAGTTGATTGCTAACAACCGCGGTTCGTTCAATTTGCATTATCGAACTGTGATTGCTGCTGATGGCTTCTTCGTGCATCCACCAAGGGAAGAGACGACTTGCTCATCTCTGGATCATCTCTGGAAAGCGCAGATCAGCTCATTACGGTGCTGATCTCTTAATATCAGAGGCTAATATTAAAAGATCAACTTGAATACGTTGAAAAACTCATAGATATCAAATTCTTACTCTTTTTTAGAAGTACGCTATGGCTAGACAATGATAGGGATTAATAAAAAATTTATTGGGATTAGTAATTTCGAAGCTGAGGGTAAGGATCCCGTCTAAAAGCAGAAAGAGTGTGCCTATACTTTACTCGAGCTGGAAAGTCTCCATTACACGTGAACGGCGTGTATTGCCGAGGGTTGTTTAACTAACTAAATTTGACCCATTAACAGACACGACAATACTAGTATTAAAATAAGACAACTATTAACGAGAGTATAATGGAGGACACAGAAAAGCATAAAGAAATTACATCGGAAGCAAAGACATGGCGCGATAAGCTCGAGCGTGACATGCTCGAGTTGCAGGAACAAGAAAAAAGCATCATGACTACTGCGGCTTCAGCATCTACCTCGGCAACGATTCGTTCTAAATATACAACAGAAATTTTAATTTAGCAGCTTGATGCCCTAAAATAGAGGGCTAAAGAGAAAGGCCATAAGGACATATGTATTTAGGTTGAGAAACTAAAGATAAGACAGAGGAGTATAGTTGTAAGGTATGTCAACGAGATTTGAGGCCGGGATTTTAACCAGATGCTTAAAGACCTAAAGAAGATGAAGGTGTATGGTGAGAATCTAAATGATTTGCTCAAAAGAAAAAAGGAAAAATGCTAATTCCATGCCAATCTGCTATACCTATTGAGGTGTCTAGGATAGGAAGTCTAATCTACCTGTTTCCGATTCTTTCTTTACCTTAATTCTGCCATCTTAATTACTAAATCATATCTAATAATAGTAATATCGTACATACGTTGATAAAGTCGAAGACTCTTTCAGTCTTAAAGCTCTATTTAAGCAGAGAGAGGTAGAGTATGATTAGGGATGAGAGTAGTTTGCATACTGAAGCCTGCTATCACCTAATATTCTAACCACATTTGGCTGCAAAGACGCCGGTGAATTTGCCATCTCTCTGTACGTCCTACCAGCTTCATGAAATAGATTACTGACATGCTTCGCGCCGTAAGTTGCCCCACGCTTCTGAAAAGACACTTAATGTTATCCAATATCGGCCCGTTGCGCCCTGTGATGGGATACCAAGGCTTGTTGACAATGCTGAAGCAGTCGAGGAAGAACTGTAGGTAGAACTCGCCTGTAGGCTTTGCCTGGGCGCCGCCTGCTGACCAGGACCCAAAGTCGATCCTATGCTTCTCCTGGGTTATCTTGAGGGTGTCGACTGGCTCTAAGTTGCTATTAAAAACTTTTTCGATGAGATAGCGCGATTTTCATCGTTTGTCTTCATCTGACCCAGAGGCACGTACACACCTTCAAATTTGCAGTGGCCAGGTAATTTAGTCTTTTACGATTTTCTTATTCAGACAGGCTTCGTTGTCATCCGCCAAGAGTTTGTTAATGTCTACTTCAGTCTCAACATCACACAGCCTGTCTTTGTTTACAAACGTAATAGTCTCGAGGGTTCGAGTTATATTAGAAAGTCAACTGACGCCTGTCTGAGGATTGAGGTTCCGTCAATAACCTATCTTATTTGCACAGGAGGCCATCATTATACCCTGCTAGTAAAACATCGACTGATGTATACGAGGCTTGAGGACTTTGTATGTTGACTCCTTGGCAGTCCACGAGTACTATGGAGTCGTTGTTTACATTACAATATGGCGACGTAGCAACCCTATTCCCCAGAATTTAACCCACAGAGTAGCCTCACCTACTCCTACGTTTGACTGGCGTTACTAAAGACGATACCCGCCACACCTGCGAACGTCTCATCTGCTTCCCAGACGGGACACTAAACCATTCATGATTTCGCGGACAATATCAGGAATGCGTTGTTGCACCTTAGTGCTGTATCCATCTGGACGTGGTGGATCGTGATACCCCGGAAGTGGCCAAGCCTGTCGAGGGCGTCTCATAGATATTCTCGTTTTAGTGGCTTATTCTATATCTTAAACTTTCCTTATTGTAGTCAAGGTAATGTCGGGGTAGATCCAGGCCGACGGCGGGCGGCATATCGGTCTTTCTGGCCCAGTGGATGCGTAGGAGATCGCGGAACGGTCTTGCACACTTGACGGACCGATTCACACTCTAGGAAGGTAGCACCGTCTTCTGCTTCGCATTGCTTGCGTTTCGACCTTCTCTTTGCCTTTTCCTTTTTTCTTTTTTCTATGCATTTGTTGACACTTAGCTTGCGCCTTTTTGTGGGTGTAAATAGTCGTTTTCGGCATTGCGGTTGGTTGTCCCTGGTGAGTGTGTGGCTTACCTGGCCTGGCCTTACGATTGGCCACGTTGAGGGTGGATCCCTGTCTGACGGGCCGGGCCGCCCACGGATTCACATTGGGCTTCTGTCCGGTGACCCATTTCGGACTGTCGCGATCCTTTGCATAGGAACCCTCGATGCTAACAAGCTCAGCACGTGCTCGGGTCTATAAACTCAGACCTTGACGCTATGCGACTTAATATTTTCAACTTTGCCGCGTGAGTTATTGTTAGTATTTCACAGGTAGTCAGAGAAAAATCCCCTTTATTCCAACGCAATAATTTGCGATTGAGCCGTGGGAAGGTGGTCATGGGATTGATTATTTAGAGGGGTGGAAGACCTATCCATCATTCGGCTATTAAAATAAACTACTGCTAATAGAGGTTAGGGTTTAAGCCACGCTGTTCTGTGGCTGGGTATGGCATTGTGTGCAGAGAAGCTGTTGTGGTAGTTAGCCGGCGTATTCGCTGGATTTAACGGGTTTAAAATCTTTCCTTCTTACTGTCATTGATGTTTTCTGAAGCCGGATGGCTCCTCTTATGCTGTTTAATCATTTGATGGTGCGGAGCCACGTATCTGGGAATCCCCTCCCAGACGCGGCGTATCCCCCCGCTTTTTAATTCTTGTCTAACCCCTTCTTCACCTTCTCGTTTATCTATTTCCTCAAATAGTATCCTATCCTTCCTTTTTTCTCCTAATCTCTTTCTTATCACCTTTAGGACTCTCCACTCATTACCCGTTTGGCGTATACTCCCTAGGTTTTCTACTTAGTTGCTTCCCTTGCGTCTATATAACTCTTCCCGAGTCTCTATATAGAGTAGGAAAGCAGAATGCAGAGAGAATGCAGGCGAGGAGAAAAGGCTAAAATCTTATTAATTCTCTACGATACTCACCACTACCTACGATCTGTTTATAGTTAATGACGGGGCCCAGTTAAAGATAAAGAGCTGTGAATCGTTTGATCAAAATCAGTAGCTTGATAGTTAACTAAGAATCTTCACTCCGGTATAGAGGTCACTATTTCTACAAAGCTTACAAGATAATATCAGGATAAAGCAAATCGATATAAAAGATATGCGCGATACTGTATAAGCAACTAGGTGAGAAGTGTTTCCTACTATCTAGTAGGGGCCAAGGCTATATATCGTACCTTACCGTTATAGGTAGTAGCCTGGGACAACTATACTCTTGCTATAGATGCGGCGATCATCTTCGCACGTCACCTCTATAGCACCAGGCCATAGAAGTGCGTTGAAAGCCTTTTGTCTTCTAACTTTATCTAGGTCAAAACGTCAAAGGCCGCCTTCTTCAGATCATACTTAGTGTGACCGTTTATTAGTTGATAGAGGAGCACCTCGTCCGATACATTTTAAAAGCCCGTTGAAACATCAACTCGAAAAAGACTACGTTACCAGCTCTATAAGCTATAGGTCATGTAAAAACCAACTTAGATGATCTAATAGCCACTGTAATGCATATCTGAACCCTTACAAACATTAAAGAAGTATTTAGACGTGGTAGACGTTGAGTGTATATGATGGCGGTGCCCGGACGTCTATTGTGTCGTGAGAAGAGAGGGAGAGGGAGCAGGAAGAGAGGGGCACGTGGCTTCTTGTAGCTGGAGGTACTGGGCGCGCAGTTCGGCAGTCCGTGCAGGAGAAGATGATCTCGATCGGTGTCCATGAAGAAGAGATGTTTCTGCTTTGCGGAATTTTGTTATTGACCTGGTAAGGAGCGGAGGACTGGCATCGCCGTTGGAAGCGGGCACTGACAATGGGAAAGGCTTTGCGTGGCCCGGGTCGCTCCGAGCAGAGATATCACAAATGTCGAGCTGCAGGATTTTATCGTTGAGCTGCAAAGCCGTGACGGCTGATGTAGGCTCTTCATCGGTGAAATAGTCAGGCTTCTCCGTCAACTGATCGTATAGTCCCCAATTCCCCGCCAGCAACCCCGCGCCGTGACAAACACCAAGGCCAACATCAACACGGCAACCATGGCGCTGGTTATGAAGATATGCTGGCCTGGCTACTTGCCCAGACGAGTCCGGCCCCGACGAACCTACTCTCAACGGCACCGGCAACACCACAAGCGACACCGCAAGCAAACCGCAACGTCCGCGCCCAAGACCACTTATACTTCCGTGACGAAAGTCTTTCCCCACGTTCCGAGACGCGCCTAACACGAGCCATGGAGGCTCTTCTCAAGGCTGAGCGCTCCCGGCGTCACAAACGCACCAGACACACCATCGCCTACTTCGAGGCCATCGACAGCCTCAGGAACCAGACCGATCGCGAGTCACGATGCCGCATCCTCGCATCGCTCGCCCTCTCGACCGTCCAGCCTCTTCTGCACCCAACTGCGTACACCTTGGTCGGCACGACAGCCCTTAACCGCGCCCACGTCGCGCATCACAACGCGCGAGCCAAGCAGGAGGCTACAGTCGGCAGGTTCCGCGATATTCTCTCGGGACGTGGCTTCCGCGGTGTTTGGCCTGATGAGACGTGATACTAGCATACCCTGAGGCAACGGCTCGGCCAAGGGGACGAATAGAGAGTAAGAGGATTGGTTGGCTATTATAGCGTATCTATCTAGAGTATGGGGATTTGTTATTAGTACATTGGGGCTACGAGATGTACATAATGTATATAGGACGAGTTACGTACATTTACGCCTAACAACAAATTAACGGACTATAATATATTAGATCATACGCTCGGTCTCGAGTGCTTATAAACTGAACTATTATGACGAAAGAGAAAACATACTGGCTCCGACCTTTACCCTTCGACATCTCGTGCATTATCATCCTCTAGGTCATCCTACATAGCCTCACGAAATCCCTGAAACATATCGAATAAGCCTCGTGGTTGGGTAAGCATGCCACCTCTCCTCAGCCTATCTAGAAATTCCGCCTCCCGATCGTTCCAAGGTCTCAGGGGATCGGCCTTGCGCGGAGCTCTCGTGGAACCCTCGGGGTTCGGGGGTTTCATTTGCATTGCCACGCGAGGAGCAGGCCACGCCTTTATAAGCCCTCGTATCAGCTCGGATGGTCTGGACAAGGACTCGGCTTCGAGCTTCGGATCGATCGTGTGGACGACGTGCTTCAGCTCGACCATCGTCGCTGCTTCAAAATCTATCACTGGAGACGCGGGTGCTCGTACAGACGCTTCTGTGGTTTCCCAACCGGCTGGGCCTGCGCGGTCCAGATTATCGAGATCCCTCAGGACATCCGCCGATAGCACGCACACACTACCGAAACCGGCGGCAGCCTGACCGATGAGACGGATGACGGGTATCACGGTGCCGTTGCGGATTGCTGACAGAGCATTCACATTGTCTGAAATGGCTGATGTCGTCTTTGCTTGTTCTGGTGGTTTGTAACCGAGCCACGAAGAAAACCATGGCCGTTGCACAGGTCGAGGATTCTCGGACGACGGCGGTTCTCCGGATTGGCCTGGTTTGTAGGGGTCTGAAGACGTCGTATCCGCGACTGGCGTAATGATACCCCTTTCCACAAGGAGGCTAGCGAGGGTAGCGATGGAGACGGCGACCTCTGCAAGGTGACGCGTCAAGGCAAAGACGGCAGCCTCAGCAGGCAGTTTGGCGGAGACGACCTCTTCAGCCTCTGAAAAGGGGTGCTGATTGTCGGGGAACAGCGGGTTATCATCGACGTCGAGAGGCGCGTCGTGGAGCGTCTCGAAACGCTGGGCGGACCGCGTAGTAGCCCACTCTAGGAGAAATGCTGCTGTGGTGTTGTTGCCGGCGACAGTGTGAATAAAGTCGGGCAAGCAAGCAAAGTGCCAGCTCCGAACAGGGGGCGAGACGGGCATGGCGGGATCATAGGTAAAGCGCACGGGGGCGGCAGCCGGGTCGCAGAGGCGACAGGCGGCGACGAACGGGTCGCGGTCAGCGTCGAAGAGAGCAGCCCGAATAACGTCCCTGAAATTGTCGACAGATGTCATGTTGAGCAGACGTGCGGCATAGGCTAGGTTGCCGGGGATAGTATCGACTTCGGGCGAGGTGCGCATTTCGATCCATACTGCAACGACATTGCGGAACCGACGGAGGAGGTGTTCGCAAAGCAGTTCAATGTCACCCATTCCCTCGCCTGTGTCACTGAAATCACCTTCCATAGGCGAGGCTAGGTGGATAGTGATGTTGAGGCACAGATGTTGGTGTGAGATGTTGCAAACGGTAAGAGTGGGTTTGATGATGATTGAGACATGCTGGCTACTCGGGATGCAGCTCAGGCATATATATAGAGCACATCAGCAACATGAAAGAACTGGTCGTCGTCTCGTATGGTCTTCCGCCGCACGTGTTTCGGCCATCGTCTGGCCACCGTCTCAAAGATCTTTCATGTCGATCACTTAGCGTAGTTTCAGCCCACGGTTTCCACCTTCTTTGCTTCTGGGCTACAGCTCATCACCAGTGCTTCATAGCACTCTTATCAACGTGTCGATCGCCTGAGTCACTCCGGTCGCTCTGTAGTTTCTACACTTCTCCGCCAACATATCCAACTTCCTACCTGCGGAAGTGTCAAAGAAAGGCGCAAACACTCCACGAAGAATTCATCAACGTCAACGAATCATGCCCACTTTCCGGCTCGGACAAATCCTCCTCCTGCTATGTACCGCACTCATCCTTTTTCACTGGCTGCCCAGCTTCTTCAACCACGGCACAGAGTACAGCACATCACACGCCGTACAACCGACAGGTCCTCATCTGCCGGAGATGTCCGAGCAGGAGCTGGGTGCGACCGCGAAGATCTGCGACGCCCTCCGCGAACTCCGCGCCCTCGCCCCCGGAAATGGTGCCAGGCAGTCGGCACAGACTCCGTTCGAGTTTCTCGGGCTTGACCCGGGCGTTGCGCCGTTCATGCTGACGCTGAGCTCTCGTAGTCTGGGTCCCCAGGTGCAGTCCGAAGTCGAGAAGATTGTCACCGACGCGGCGGTGGTAGTAAGGGAGAATCTCTGGCCGCGGCTGTTGATCCACGACGACGTGGAGAGCACCAGCCACAGCGCCGCCAGCATCAGGCAGCATGTTCTGGCCACCTACGTCGTTACCGCGAGGCTCATGTATCTAAGCAAGGTGCACCCCAAGCTGAGGAAGTAGGATGAGGCGGTGAGGGTTGTCGACAGTCTCTGCGGGAACCTGCGCGAAACTGCTTGGAAGTTCTGACTTGGGGTAGTAGTCCGAGACAGTCTGCCGTTCTTTGACATGACGTGGGAGAAATCTAACGGGCGCCATGGAGACTAGGGGATGGAACCTTCTGTACAAGACATATGATAGATCAAAAATGGGATAAAGAAACAATATAGACAGGCCAGGCTGCCCACCGTTTTGAGGCGAAACGTGTTCATGACGGCCCAAAACCACTTCAACAAGGAAGCCAAACGGGCTTTTTTTCGCAATGGAATCTACCAGACTCCGCTCGCTATTCACGACAAGGGAACCGTAGAGAGAGTTGTTACAAAAGGAGGCCATGTTTTTGGATATACATATTCCGCTGCCCAGCTCGTCAACATTTACGGCTAAACACACGTTCCGCCATTAGACGACGAAGTTGACCAACCTCCAGAACCCCAACGCTACGCGATGGTCGCCGAGCTGTGGACCCGCGTCGTCAAGAATCAGATCAGTATGGTATTCCCTCACCTCTCTACATCACTTCGTAAGCACCGTATAACGCTGGTGCTGTCACAGGCAACCTCTCCACCTTTGCAGCGCAGCACAAACGCGAAGAAATGGCCAAAGCTCCGTCGAAGAAGCCCGACGCGGGCAAGAAGACCAGCAAAGTCGACAGGAGCATCCGCGCGCGTATGCTATACCGCTTCCTCTAGAATCAAACAAAGGAAGACCCCGTGCACGCCGCGGTGGAGGAGATCGACCCGGGCCACGAGTACCTGGAGTACCTCGGCTGGGCCGATGTAATCGAAGACGACGAGGAGGGATGGTTGGACAGCTGGAATTCAAAGGGACACCTGCAGACGTGGCTCAAGACCTCACTCAAGAATTGGCGCAAGACTTGGCTTGATGGAGGCAAATCCCCAAAAGAGGCCCTCGAGGAGCCGGTTACCGAGCATGCGACGGCCGCAGAGACTACAGAGGAGCAGCAAGATGTCAGCCCCTCTGCAAATGAAGACGCGTCTACGCCTCTCCCGATAGCTGCTGGCGTCCCCGTCGCGGGAAGTAGTCGGACACAGCGGCCTGTCCCTGACATCGCGACATATCACCCGATAAAGCCGCCCCAAATGCCGACCGAACCGCCCTTGGTCACGTCTGGGAACACCACCGTAGCCCATCCTGCTTCCAAGTCTATCTCTGAGACCATGCGGCAGCCCGACGCATTGGTATATGCTCCGGCCGAGACGCACCAGGCCCTAGGCGCACCGCTTTCAATCATGGCAGAGGGCTTCTATGCAAACCAGCCTGCTTTTGTTCCCACCTCGGAGACCGTGCCGTCGAGATCACATCCGGACTCAATCTTTACGGTTGCACAAACACAGCCTGCATCGGCAACGTTCACTCCAGCGTGCACGTCACCCCAGCCATCACCCGGATCACCTCTGGTTCCGGCAGGGAACACCGCCGTCGTCGCCCGTCCTGACCCTATTGTAACCGCAAAACTTACACGATTGCCTGATGTGGTGACACTGACTCCAGCCCTGGTGTCCCAAACGGCTACCAGGCAGCTGCCAGTCACGGAAGGGAATATCACCGTGCCGAAGACTGGCCTCGACTCAGTCTTGGAGACATTGCCGTTGCCAATAGTCGTCAAATCAGTCAGTTCCGAGGTTGCGAAAGCACAGCCCGCACGCTTGCAGCACATGCAGATTCAATCACAGATGTTGGTCTCAGTGGGGCAGAGCGGTCGAAAGCCCATCGACACCACCGGAACGCGGGACGGACAGTCGGCACCGCAGTCAGAAGTTGCATCGGACCCCGGTCATCGATTGCGGGAGGGACTCGCCTACTCTGCGGTAAAGATGTGCTACGGGATAGCCGACTCGGATTTGGATCACGGTGTCGGACAGGCTCAGGATTCTCGGGCCTTGGCGGACAGTGGCCGGGAGGAGCGAGTTCCGTCCCTGAGTGGTGCGCGGAGGCAGATGTTTTTCAAGTGGTACAAGGACGTTTATAGGACGAGTAAGAAATAATAGTGAGGTCGTCTGGCTTTTGATATTGGCCGGTCAGGTGCCTTATACGTGGAATTGTTTCGATTTTGAGGTAGAACGGTTGATTGGTTTGGGCGGTATGGAAGATGTAAGACGTTGAGCTATAAAAAGGAGGCTTTATGAATATTCTTTTCAAGTTACTACCTTCAAGGGAGCTTGTTGAGACCCGTAGACGCTATTTCTAAGCACTTGATTTCCAGCTAGCTAGCAGTCAACTTATGCGGGTGTCAACCTTGAACCACAAATTTTTGTACCGCATTTTTCTTTCACCATCAACACTACCCATCATCAACTTGGTCAACCAAAGACCCAGGCAAGTTAAGACGCCGTCATAAGCATACTTACCCATTCACGTGAACAAACCCTCATCACTGATGAAGTGGTTTCCAGTCATGCTCTCACGACCTATGAGCAAGCTTTCCATCATGCCGTCTCCAGCCTCCACCCCCAAACGTACGCCCAACATAATCATGGCGCCAAACCAAGTCAGTTGCGGGGCTAACGCTTTCCAAGGCTTTCTTGCCTTCGCGCGCTGTCTTACACTCAGTCAAGTCACCACAGCAGCTGAAGAGGATCCTCCTAACCGTCAAGATGCCCGGAACCCATGTCCATACCGAGTTCGCTTCTGGGATCTCCTACAAGGTTGCCATTACCACCGCTCCTCCTAACAGAGGCTTCAAAACCTAAGGCACTTAAGTTTTAAGAATATCTAAAAAGCATCCAGGCGCCTCCTGGGGAACGCTCTCCGTCGAGACGAGCTCTGAAAAAGCCGCAGAGATCATATTTACTAACCCAAGAATGATACTTATTTCAGAAACAGGAGAGGAGCCAAGTACATGGTCTAAATGTCATCGTTCATGGATCTCAGCACCGGATTTGCTCAGATTTAACAATAATACGCCTCACTAAAATTTTCCCATAAGGAATCTCAGATACCGGCAGGGCTATCGAGATGATTAGCGAGTCAAGTAAATATGGTGGCGATGATCCGTCTCCTTTTACTCCCATTGAGACCATTCAGATCACTGGGGACATACCGTTTGACCTGCAGCATGCCCGCGGAGGCGCTTCCTGTTCACGGCCAGGGTAATAACAAGACTCTTGAGTGAGGCCATTCCATTGGCGAGGGCGGCATGAGTCGCTTCTTATGCAACGCTTGGCTCATGCGAGCAGACGCGTCCCGACGTCACCCTTTTCAACCATGATTTCAAGATATTTGTCTTAAACCAGCCCCGCCCAACTCACTAATGTACCTTGAAGTTTCCTTTATAAGTTTTCCCTTTCGAATGATCCCATGATAGAAACAACTAAATCGAACACCCCAAATGTGATTAAGTCACCCTCCGAATTCTGGTCATCCTGTATACCCCTTTTCGCCCAGCTTCCCACCGAACAGACTTCCCAGGGAGAAGCAAATCCTTTACCTAGAGAGCTACCTTTTACCTCGAATCTGTTTAGACGCTCAATAAGTCCACTACGACCAACAAGCTATATTAAAAAGTATATAGATATAGGTAAGCGACCAGGATCGCCAACTTAGAGATATTTGATATTGACGAAATGCTACGTAGCTATTATTAAGAATGAAGAGGTGGCGAGAACAGCGACAGCTGTAAAAGCTGTGATAATAACAGCTCAGCCTAAAATGACAGCAGTAGTTCTGATTACGACACCGATATCCAGGAGTGTTTCTAAGAGGCTCTAGCCTCCGGGCCCGAATTCATAGGTCTAGCTTTGAGGATTCGCCGTAATACAACTCGTTTCGAAAAGCAAATTCCCAGCCCCCAACTCCATTGGAAGCATATCCTGAACAAAAAGTCCTTGTCTTTTTTTCACGATCGACATCCCTGCTATTTCTGCAGATAGAGTAGATAGAGTAGAAGAACCCTAAGAAGACGTTTTTACGCTTTATACGCCATCGTTAGATCACCACTCCAACTTGTAGTAAGTTATCTTCACCAGCCAGAGAGAACAGCGTCGTGGTCCTAATAAAGACTGCTACGAGAGCTATATACTTCGCTTGCATAAATGAAAGAGATCACCAGTTGTCAACAATAGGGCAACATCACAGGCTCTGCCAGCTAGGAAATTGCGCGCAGGACCGTCTCGAGTCTTGGTAGAGAAGCAAGCCAAGGAAAGCCTCACAACCCAGGCTAATAGACAGATCCAGCATCCCTTCAGATCACGGTCATTGCCACCCGCAATCAGCTGTATCAGTTGTGACTAATTAATCACACCTTTACGGACTATTTGCCCTGAATCGGACAATGCTTTCTTTGAGAAGATGAAAGTACACAGAAAGACAATAGAGGTGATTATAAAGGATACCCGAAGATATAATACCTCGTCTTGAAGACTCTTTTAGAGAACCTCATCTCTAAACATTCGAACGCGTTTCCCTCCCTTCTGCCGCCGCCACCTTGGATTCACCCTTAGCTACGTGCCACGTCTGTGGCTTCTCTGCCGAACATTGACTACGGATGAGTAACACTGTCCACCCCTTCATTGGGAGTGGTAATAGGCTGTTCTGTAGTGAAGAAAGGATTTGATATGCATTACTTCTTCCTTGGGTTTACTAGGTAGAGACGATGCCACGAAGAGGCTTCTATATAGCGTCATAAGTAGCGATACCCGTATAATGCACCCTAGAAATGAATCGGACGTAGGCTTAGAAACGTCACACTCCGAATCTATATCATGAGACGAATACTTAGGTAACAATTCAGGAGCAAATAACAGCAACGACATCGAACGTGAAAGTGTGAATTCCGATCACGGTACCGGTCCAGGACATGACAAAGACAAGGGCAAAAACCCACCGCGTCGCCATTGCCTACCCTTGGAAGAAAGACGACTTCGCGCATGGGTTCAAGAGGGACAGAAGTAGTCATGAATCTCCAGTAAATTACGGCACCGAAGCGAGCATACCATCATTTTACACTAGAAGATCACGTGTAAACCGGGGAAGAAGAAGACAAAGTGTCAGGCTGGATGTCGTACAGAGTGGAAGAGTTAATAATAACACAATGTTGGGGTAGATTATAGTATTCTTTGAAAATGCCTCCTCTAAACCTCACCGGGCGCGCGTCCTTTCATCCATCTGGCGGACTATGGTAATTCCTGCCGGTGATCCTCCGGCCCTGAGTCCAGGTTTCCCTCCCCGTAGAGCCCACGTCTCTGACACAGAGAAGGGGCAAAAAAACAGATAATCTGCATCCTCACCGAGTCATGCCTTCATTCTTTGATGTTACTTTCCTCGCTTCTTAATATTAGCTTCAGGTATTCATCAAGCATCACAACTAGCGACCGGAGCTTATTGGTCACCGGTTGTTAGTTCACATGTGTACGCATTATTCGAGAATGCGGAGCATGGCCAGACACTGATCCAGAAACTCAAGGCGGTGATAATCTCTTTCAAGCATCCGAATTTCTATAAAGATGTATCAAAGGCTGTGTCTGATGATATTTCCTTGATGTGGCTCAAGAATGACGGCAGTAGGCATAGCGGGAAAAAGGAGTCCTGAAGCACGTCATGGACATATTCAAATACAAGAACGCCAGCTCGTCCATTACTAGATATACTTGCAAGAAAGTATAGCGATCGTAATTAGGGGATACGAAAACAATAGTTACGATGGTATTGTGTTCAACTATGGTTGCACGTCCTGCAATGAGCTTGGTCTGGCTTCGGAAATAGGCAGGGGTAAAGACGGAGCAGCCGCTCTGCAAAAAAGCAAAATTTACGATCCAATACACAGGTCAAGACTATTCGCAGTTTGCGGTTCGTCCCAGGTAATCTCTGTGAGGGTTGTGCTGCAAACCTTGCTCGGTGTTTAGTGACCATTGAAACTTTGTCGTCATTGATATGTATTCCACCCAATTTCAATTCGAATTACCTGTAAAGCTCAACACTAAGAGCTTTTATCTGTCCGTGATAGCGTTATTTAGTTTCCAATAAGAACTTCAAGCCCCTATCGAAGAATGATATTGGATGAGCAATACTAATCAACTATATCCACATAAATGACGCAGACAAACTTGAACCCCTCGATGCCTGTCTGAGGATTGTTTGCCACCGGTTCCCGGGAATTAACCGTAACCACATTTAAGACGAAATAAAATCCAAGGGAGCAAACTATGTATTGATTGCTGAGGAGATTTGGTGTTTGTTTTAGATTTCAAAACACCATCTCCATACAACTCCGATCAGAATTTAAACAAGTGGGATGAGCGTGCTTTGAGATGACACAGAAGGTCCATGAGACAACATCAGGAGAACATACAGACACTACCACAACTTAAAATCGCGGAAGTATTAATTACAACTATAGGGCCTACCTTGGGCTCTTAAGAAAGACGCAGGTACCGAGCGTTTTGCTTTGGGGATATTACTAAAAGTAGCCATAAGACTTTGCTAGAGTAGGACATTTCGCGACTTAACAACCTAATTACAGATTCCACATAACTGTAGGGGAAAGCAGCTAAGTCTGAAAATAACTAAACGAAGAGAGGTCTCAGGCTGCATAAGGAGTTCAGAAACCCAAGACAGCGAGGTTCACAACAGAGCAAGACTACCAGATTGAATTTTGTGTGAGATAAATTTTCCTACTGCTATTAAGATGTATCTAACTAATAGATCGTTTTTACGCGTAAGAGTAACTATTCTACGGCGTATCTATTCTGCTCCTCTTTTATAGATAAAGTTAGATATCCTAGAAAAGATGTTTTGGTACAGATCTGGGTTTAAGCCCCTATCGTAAGGTGCCTTTTGTATTTAGCCTTGACCTCATAAACTTGTAGATGAGATGACTAGGAGCTTTAATCACACTCTTTTATTAAAGCCTTTGACGTTTCACATGCTTTCATTGCAACAAAACATCCTGGACCACCTGAACAGACTTGAAGACATTGGGACCCCTACTTTCTGACCTCTTCACTTTCTGACCTCTTCACTTTCTGACCTTTTAACTTTCTGACGTCTTCAATATCTGACCTATTTACTCTGTGCCACCAAAATCTCATCCCTAGCCCTCAGTTTTTCCCATAAATAGGTTGCAATCGCCCTCTTCCAACGCCCTCTTCAACCCTCCCCATGTCACAGCAGCGTAGATTCCACCGCTCTCCAACATCACCAACTTCTTCTGCATTTCCTCTCTCGGCGTATTTGGTCGCTGATTGGCACAATTATTCCAGATGCCCTCAGCCACTCCTTTAACTATCAATACCCTTCAACGACTTCAATCCCCTATCCAACTAGTCACCGAGGTAAAAACAAGCCTTGTAGCTACTATTCCTATTAATACAACTATTTCTGATCTCCATAAGATTTTGTGGGAGAATCGGCGCTTTGTGTTGGAGGAGCAGGTGTCACGCAAGGGCAGCAGAGGCAAAAAGACTTGGATTAGAGATCATGGTATACTCCTCACCAAGCTAGACTCCCAGGGGCAAGCATCTTCTTCATGCTGGTGCTGCTGTCGCTGTGATGTTAAAGGCAGGCCTAAATTCTTCTCCGCTGCTGCCTCAAGCTCCCCTGCCGATCATCTCCGAAGGTATGTGACATTTACAGCAAGGCTAAGGTTGGACTATTCAAGACCTGTGCCTTAGCATCATCATCGCCAACGACCTCCCATTCAACCACTTCGAAGGAGACTTTATATAGTATCTCCTGCAGTACCATGATACCTCTGTTGCCCAACAAGTGCCATGGGGGAAGTCTTCTATGCTCAAGCACCTTGGAATTCTATTCTCAAGAGGCAAGGATGCTGTCGGGCATGATTTTTTGACTGCCATCTCCAAGACACCTTGAATTTGATCTCTGGACCTCGCCAAACAATATCGCCTACCTCACAGTCGCTGCCCATTTTATTAACAATGCTGGGCAGCATCAGAATCGCCTTATCGACTTCAGCCGCATGCAAAGTGATCACTCTGGTGTTAATATCGCCAACCACATCTTCCAGAACTTAGATAATTGGGGAATCCAGCCCCTGGTTGGAATGGTAGTCTCTGATAATGCTACCAACAACGACACTTGCACAGACTATCTGTTTAAGAAGCTGAGCCCTTCTATGTCAAAACAAGATCGGCCGGCAAGGAGGATGAGATGCTATGGGCACATCCTCAACCTTGTGGCCAGGGTCCTGCTCTTTGGCAACGATCGTGAGATCTTTGAGGCAGAGTCTGACTTCTACTAGTCTATTCATAATGAGGCTGAAGATCTTAAACTCTGGCGTAAGGCTGATCCTATTAGCAAGCTTCGAAATATCGTCATATTCATTAGGTCATCACCCCAGAGGTCGGAAAGGTTTCGGAAGACCTCAAGAGAGGTTGATGATGGCTCTGACTTCGAGCTCTTCTCTCAACGTCACAGAGAGACCCAGCTTCTCCTCAACAAAGATAATCGATAGAACTCTACGTACCTTATAATCCAGAGAGCTCTAGAAAAGAAGGCGGAGTTAGAGACCTACGTCAACTTCGTTTAGAGTGACGAGAGTGTTATAAAGAGGATCCCTTGTGATGATCTTTTGGCACCAGAGGTTGGAACGTCCTAGCCGAGATTAAGACTATCCTGAAGCTTTTCTACCTTCAGACTAAGAGGACTGAGGGCTGGGGTAAGGGGGATGGGTATGGTCGTCTCTGGAAGGTTATGACAGGCATGGAATACATCCTTGAGCACCTGGAGGAGTGGAAGAAGTTCTAGAACTCTGTATCCATCCAGTAACCCCAGAGATTGACTTACCTACTGTTAATGGCTCCCAGCAGTCCCAGACACGATCAGGTCGATCCAGCAGATCATCTGAAGCCATTCAGGTATGCCCTGCACTATCTTGGCATACCACAGAAGACTGGGCTCTTCATGCCTCACGGTTTGGAAATTTCTTTTCGAGATACCAGGAGCATCTTCATACTTCTGTTGAGCTGGCCTGGCAGAAGATGGCCTCGTACTATGAGAGGGTGGGTGATTCCCCTCTCTTTGCTGCTTCCATCATTCTACATCCAGGTCTTGGTATCTCATACCTTGAGGCAATTTGGGATGAAGGTGAGCAGCTTAGCTGGCTTCGTGATGCAAAGAAGGGAATCCATGACCATTTTGATCGCTAGTATAGACCAGCAGATAATTCGCGTGACGGGTTTGAAGTGAGTGAGATCAGCCTTCTTCCTCATGAAGACAGCCACTTCAGGCAATGGTTTAATAGCAGAAGAGGGAGGGAGAGGGCTAGAAGTAGTCCTCAGACTGATAATGAGCTGGCAATGTATCACAGGCAGCCTCCTCAGCGTGCTACCAACCCTGTGAAGTGGCTGAGGGATCACCAAACTAATTATCCACAGCTCAGCAAGCTAGCTTTGGATATTCTTGCCATCTATCCGATGGCTGCTGACTGTGAGCGAGCGTTCAGCTCTGCAAAGTTAACGATCACTTCGCAGAGGTAGGCTTTGCAACCACAAGTGGTGGAGAAGCTACAGCTATTGAAGAACTGGGCGAACAGAGGTGCAGTGCCATTTGGTGCTGGCGCAGCATTGTTGAGGCCTGGGATGACGACGTACTGAGGCATGGTGATAGCTTCATTAATCTCCTATTCGGGTAATCGTGGGGTTTTTTTGACATTACGTACTACACGCATTTGATTGACTGATTGGGTAAACATGTCAATCAATCAATCTGGGCCGGCAGAAAAGTCAATCAAGCAAGTATAGCGCGGATTGGAATTATTTGAATTGACGGCAGCGCTGGTAATGATCATTCTCTTTACCCAGCGTCCTTGACAACAGAGTCGACCTCGATTTCTCCTCATCCTTCTGCTGCTTCGTATCATACCACCGAGCGAAGTAGTCCTTTATGCCAAGCTTCACATCGCGGGCCCAGGCCAACTGCTCCTCAGTAAGCCAAGTAGCCTCCAGCCAACCAATGCCGAATCTCGGATGAAAGATGACTGCTGCCGCGAGTAAAGGAGACTCTCCAAGCTTGCTATAATACACACCAAGCTTCTTCCAGCCATGTTTGATGGATATTCGGATATATACTCGGTGGTCTGCAGGTATTGAGCTCTTCTGGGAGAACTCATACGCTGCTGGCTTATTTAGCGCCGTATTTTCAGTCTCAGAATGATCAGGCCAGGCATCCATCGTGAATCTGGGCGTTTGACTTCGCTGTCGACATAGAAATGTCGTCTTCGTCGTCGACGTCGAAGCGAGCACGGCGGCGACGGGTACGGCTCGATCGGACATCGGGCTCTTTCTGAGGCATAGTAGACGCTCTTCAAATCAGCTTGAGGTCATATGGGTTCGTCTCCCTTATTGTGTCGGATGTAACTTCGATAGAAGCCTTTCCAGTCTTCAAAATGCTCAAGCAAGTATTTTGTTCCCACCAGAACTTCCCACAGGTTTCCGTGGCTGCCGTCTTGGCCCCGGCCTTGTGTTCGCATCGTCCGAGTATACAGAGGCGTGAGGATCTCATTGACTTCTCCGAGAACACGCCAGTCTTCGTTGGATAAGACGTTTTCTGCAAGGATAAGTTTTCCTTCCTTTCGCTCACCGTCGAGGGCAAAGATGAAGGCTTTAATGTCGGTCGCTTGCGCAGCGCCCTAAATCATCATGTAAGGGGAATTCCACCGCGTATTGTTGTTCAAGACGACCTCAAGCTCGGCGGTCAATTCCTCACAGAGACGGTAGCCTCCATGTTCTTGCTTGCAAGCAATGCGCTTGAAACATTCTCTGCGCTGATGTGAGGACCTGATGAACTTGACAATGTTGTGGAGCTTCCCGATAGGGCCTTTTGAACGCCAATGACGAAGGTCTTGCTCCAGAAGACCGCTCATACCGTTGATATTTGACTCTAGCTCAAAGGAGTCGGCATCTTTGCTGAAAGTAAACGCGCGGGCAACGAGTTTGAGAATGTGGCCATAGTAGCGCATCCGACGGGCCTTGATATCATCTGGCCTGATCGAAGGGTCAAGCTGCCTGTAGAAACAATGCAGACAAGCATCGTTTGTAGTCAGGTTGTCGGAAATGACAGTCCCAACCTGTCCTCGGATCTCCCACAGTTGAACGATATCAAGCAACATGTCAGCAAGATTCTCGCCATTATGAGTGCCTAGGTAGCGAAGCAAAGCGAGCAACCTGGACTGGCGGTATCCGGATTTGTCGATGAAGTGTGCAAAAACAGCCATTATCGGAAGGCGGTTCGGTGATGTCCAGAGATCAAAGTTGAGGTTTATTTTCGTGAGAGTACTGCTTAGCTCCGCTTTGATGATATCGGTCTTGGATTCATAGATCTGGAGCTCTCTGACAATAGAACTGCTACTCCAGGGAATCTGGAGCGCTAATTCATGGTCAAATCGGTAGAAAAGCTCTTTAAGAAACCTTTGCTCGAATGTAGTGAATGGCACGTCACTGTCGATGACATACCCGACACTAAGTTCTTGTACAGCTTTGATCTTTGCCTGTGGTACCGTACTTTGGTCAAGCTGGGGTCTTTTGGGCGTTGCATATGAGTCGAGGTCGCAATCGTCGATAGGGCGCGACTGGCGACCTGGGTTGATCCGGTGAGCTCTACCTGGCTCAACAGATGTATCCACTAGTGCAAGGGACGAATGCATACTTTCAAAGATGATCTGCTGCAGATGATGTAGCTTGTACTGATAAGAACTCTAGTCGACCCTTTGTGTCACATCGGCTGCAGCACCAAACGGCGCCGATTGCCTGATCCTGGTGATTCAATTCAACAAAGAACAGACCATGTCACTTTTCCCAATACTCAGCCTTTTTCTCCTTTTCGAGATAGTGAAACTTTTTGAATAAAGCGGCGGTTCCCCCAGACGACCTTTGGTAGTTCGGAAATGGTCGGGCTAGCAGGCAACTTTCCGATGGCAGCCTCTTCGAGCTGTTCGGCCATAGATAGTCCTTGGTTGTGATAGTAGCGAGAACGCAGAAAATTTGTTGTATGAAATGGTTTTGAATTATCTGGCCAGCGAAGGGGGTGCTGGCAAATCGGACATCTTGTCGTTTGTACTTTGGTTTGACGGTGAAGTTGACGCGTCGCGATTGGATGGATGCACTGGACCGCGTCAACTGTCCGGGATATTGGGGAACTTCGCAGCGCTTAGCCAGTGATTGTTTTGCCCGCTTGTTGAACCTCGGCTTAACAAATCACCGACAACTGATTTCACCCCGGCTTCCCAACACGGTGTTTTGATGAGCCTTCGCTCAGGAACCTACCGAATAACAGAATGTGATTGATCTCTATTGGGAAGAATACTGGATTTGCTCCGGTTCAACCAGTCTCTTTTTGAATTGCTTGACAAACGAAGATACGAGAACAGTCGCGACATGAAGCCAAAACAGGGGCTTTGAAAGTGTGTTCTGTTGATCTGGTCTCAAGAACAAATTAATGGATAATGACGGATACCCTCTTCGAGGAATCTTCAGTAACGCGCACACACGCTGTGCACCCTGTCTGCCCTTGACCTCTAACACTAAGGTGTGTCCACAGATATATTTTGTAGGGGACTTTCTGCTGTACTTTCGAGATCTGTTATTTGTCCACGTTGAGTTCTTAACTCGCTGCCCCTGAGAAATCTGGGATTGAATTCTCTGCTACCGTCACGAAATTTATGACTCGATTTGTGCGAGCGATCGACGACACGAATGAGGAGGAGATTGATAGCGGGAAGACATGCGCATATGAGACCCGTACTTACTTCTGCTGTTCTATGAGAAGTTTGAGTCTAAGATGCCCAAGATCTTAGGGTTGGATGAAACATACCCGAGAAGGTTACCTCGAATGAAATCCACTGACTCATCTTGTGAATTCTGCATCTTAATCACAAGAACTAGTCGTATAAGACTGACTGCCGTAGCAATACCGCCAGAGCTAAGCATGGCGATTACCCTAAGACGCTTATTCCATGACATCCGGAGAGTTACCGCAACAGGAACCGGCAAAATAAGCACAGCCATATCAGTAACTGCGCTGATACTGGTATCAGCTATGAAGATAGCCTGCTGGTTGTAGCAGGTAGTTATAATCGTTTGATCCCAAAAACCGGCAAGTGGTCGACATATAAACCCTTTCAGGAAAAGGATAGGTATAGAATATCCTGTTAGGAAGATAACTACTGTATATGTCCCGATTACAGTTTTTTTATGTACTCCAAAGACTCTGATAATGATGAACAAGAGCGCGAGCTTTGTAAAGTAAGAGGCGGAACTATACGTAAGGGTGATAATATAAACACCCAAAGGGGAAGTTAGTCAAAAAATGTTATCTCCAAAGGGAAATTAAGAGGATACTTTTTTGAAGCCTTTAAGTTGCTCTTTTGAGAGTTCGTAAATGTGGAAGCCTCCACCGAAATAACCCGCTTGAGGAGAATTAGCATACCCAATCCTTTGTTTTCATTAGACCAACCTACTCAAGAGCCCTGCAGCAAAGTAGCCAAGAGATAATACCTGCTGATACATCAATACTCTTGCTACATCGCGGTTTCACGTGGTTGCATGTACCCATGCTATCAGAGCCATCCCTATCGAAATTAAGCTACCTATCAAAGAAATATTCAGGGACAGAACAGGCTTACAGTCCTCTGCGCACCAGGGGGGAGCGACGAAGGTCTTCGTATATAAGCGCAAGACCGCAAACAGACTAACAAATACCAAGGCTAAAATTTGGGACACAGAATTGATGGTGTTAAGAACGTCTTCGGGCGCCGTAAATAGGGAGCTGTTTTGGTTGATTACGTCGCTGTTCCATCCCAGTTGGGCTTCCTGCATTCTGTTACGCCTTTTGGCGAAAGAAGAAGTCAGAATCACTCAAGTCCGGGTGTTATAGAAGCGTTATGATTCCAGATAACGTCGTTTGTTTTCGTGACAAGACAGGTGAGGAAAATTAACAGAATTACTGACATGAGATCTTGAAAGTCTTAGGGTCTTGTTTTATCATGGTTGATAGAGTGACGGGATGTTTGGAATAGTGGTAGATGGTGGTCTTAAGTGATAAATATGTTGCGTCGACTATACTTGCCCGCTATTCTTATAGTTTCGGTTCACATGCAATTGCCAGGCCAAGAAAGTCTGTTTCTGGTGCGAAAGGCTAATTCAAGGATACTTCCAACTCACAGATACTAAGAAAAAGCACGTTGAACTCGAAAGCCTATTTTTAATGCGGCCGAGTCAGTTGCCCTCAAACTGATTGATCAAATGTAGAGTTTTGTTTCGTCTCGCGAGGTCCCGAAATGCTAGTTTTTATAGTGCAGGGATAATTCGTTTAGATATTTCCTCGACACTTTGCCCAGTCTTCAATAAGTCACATGGCATCTTGGATGAGGGGAACAGTAGACTTTGCAACGCAGCAGCGAACTCTCAAACGGCAGCATGGCCTATCAACTATTGGGCAGATGATTTGAAGTGTTCGTAGAAGATTGCCTAAATGAATTGAACGGTTATTACTCAACTGTCTTATCGGTGATTTTATTTACTAATGATAGAAAGTCTATCTTAATTTGATGTAATACACCGAGGGTCTATTGGAAAAAGAGTGATTCGTTTTGCTAGATAACCGCTTCTACCTATGCCGCACAGCAGCCAGATAGCTAGGAATAGCTCGAGTAGGTAGTTATAGCACTCAGCCTCGATCTGTGTATCATCTCATTAATGTCTTATGTCCTCTTTTGTGAGAAATAGCCAAGAATAGATAGAATCTACCCAAACGTATAAGCAAACAATTAACATCTGACTGGCCAGTGGTGATTATCAATCAGAGAGACATAAGTTTGCGACATGTAATATCTCTATGTTGGCGCCAGCAGGTAAGCTGGCGGATCAGACGGCTCGGGTCTAAAATTGTGTAGCCAAAACGTTTTTTAGGATCCTCTTCTTGATTTCAATTCCACTAGGGGATTAAACCTAACCCAGTGCTACTGGCATACGACACAACTTTCACAGACCAACCATTTAAGTTGGAAAAAATCTTATCAGATTGACGGCTTCAAACGACGTGCGAGCGCGCTTACATCACATCAATCGCATCACTAGCAAGGGAGCTAAGGCAAGCCGAACAATATAAATTCAATATATAGAGACTGAGTCGATACTTGCGTTGGTATACTCAGAATACATACTAAATACTTCAAGCTGAAAGAGCTAGTTGTCTAAACTGGTTGTGATCTAAAATTTAATGGCTGCCGGTCTTAATGATAATGATCTATTTCTTGTTTGAAACGTCTAAGATAGATAGTCAGCACTCTCTAAGAAACATCAATCAAAGTCTTGGGGTCGAGTTTAACATACTAAATTGGAAGTGGATGATATCTCCGTCCTGGACAACCTATTAAAATGGTAAGTAAGCGCTGCAGCATTGAAAGGAGTCTGGGTACTTACATAAGACTTTCCTTCCTGTCTATACTTTCCAGCCGCCTTGATTGGGCCTATAGACTTGCCGCCTTCACAGAGATCGTGGAAGTCTTGGTAGGCGACCACTTCAGCTTTGATGAATCCCCTTTCGAAATCGCTGTGGATAGCTCTAGCAGCTTGTGGTGCGAGGCAACCCTGCGGAATAGTCTAGCATCTGATCTCCTTCTCACCAGCTACGTACAAGTCAGCACGGGAATTCGCCCAGGGTGGTAGCAGGCTGTGAGCTGACCGGTGAAGTAGTATTGCAGGCCGAGCTTCGTGAATCCTTCGGTAATAATCTTGTCCAGCTTTGACTTGACCTTGCTCTCCTTGAGAAACTCGGCCCGTGCAGCTGGATCATCCTTCAGACTGTTGAGTTTTTCTTCAAATTCGATAGAGAAGGGAATGATGTCTCTGGGAACGCCTCCGTGCTCAGTGACCCACTTGGCAATGGCCGGCAGGTACTTGCTCTTCTGTCTGAGGTAGTCCTTCATTGTCAAGTTAACGAGGTAGATCGTTGGCTTTGTGGTGATTAGCTGGATCTTCTCGTTAATGAGCGCAATCTCGGCCGGCGTCCAGCTTCCGTCTCTAACCGGCTGATCCTTCTCCAGCATCTAGGTCATTATTGTGAGTATGTTTAGAACGGCTAAATTAGTGAGAATAGATTCGAAAGTCCGGGCTTACCGCTTGGATCTTTGTCGTTGTCTCTGTGAAGAGAGGCAGCATTTTGTATTTGCCACCTGCCTTTCTGACGATTGCCTCTTCGGCGACGATTGTCTTCTGCAGAATGTCTAACAACATGAGGGTAAGCTTGTGTCAAGTCATTTAGAGGGGTAGTACAAACCGAGATCTTTCTTGCAAAGCTCGCTTTGAATAGTGTCTAGAAGATGGACCTATTAGTTTCGTCAGGTTTTGGGAGAATCGGCTAAACTAACTTAAGTCCCGGACGGGATCAACTGAGTCATCGACGTGCAGAACTTCATCGTTATCGAATGCTCTGTCATAAGAATCTAAGTCAGTGTGAGGGTGCAGCAGTTTAGCGATTGATGTTGTACCTGACAATGTGGAACATGCCGTCAACGGCCTGGATGTGAGACAGAAAGGCATTTCCAAGTCCCGCTCCTTGAGAAGCACCCTTGATCAGGCCGGCAATGTCGGTGACCTGGAGAAACGCGGGGTACATGGACGGCGGTTTCCAGAGGTCACAGAGAAAGTCCTAACACGTATTGCCTAACTCAGCCATCTATTAGGAGCCTTTTCTGCAGGCAGTCTCGACTTACATATCGAGCGTCGGGAACAGCACATCTCGCCTCATTAGGCTCAATTGTACAAAAGGGGTAGTTCTCTGCAGCAGCACTCTGCTCGGTCAAGAGATTGAATAAACTCGACTTTCCCACATTGGGCAAGCCAACGCATCCCATCTTCAGGTTCTTGCGAACCCTGCCGAAAGCAACAACATTATCCTTAACAACTTCAACCTTCTTGGGAGGCATGGTGACTGTAATTTTTTAATCACAAACGAATTTTGATTAAAAATCTCTATCTCGGAGGGTTGAAAGAAGAACGAATCCTCTGGCAAACTTTTCAGAAAATGGCCTGATAATTCACTTGTAGGCCCACTTAAGTGCATGGGTTGTTACGGCCAGCTAGTGACAGTAGGGTTTCTGCTAACAGAAGTTGAGGCTGCGATACTAACAATAGGTCTTGCGTCGTATACAGGTATGTCGTACTGGTAGATCGAGGGTTAGGATAAGGTGATCAGTCTTACACTAGGTAACGAGGTATAGTAATATCACAAACTGTGAGCTAAGCTGAAAGTCATCGAGGATGAATCACAAGTTGATTGCTGAAGAACTATCTAGAGGGCTTGAGCAGGTGCTCAAGTCCTGGTCTATATACAAGTCCCGTTTCCCAAGGCCGACGTCCGCGTCGTCGCTTGCCGATATCTCAATTGTCGGCAGCCGACATGCCAAGAGTCGTATCTCTTATTCCTTTCTTATCATCACGTGACTTGAACATAGTTCTTCCTTTTCCGGCGGGGCGACCCTTGTCCCTTCCGTCGCCTGCATATATCTTGTCTCTAGCCGCTGTCCTCGAGTGGGGCTAGTTTCTCTGTTAGGCATACTTAACGGGTCGTAACATCAGGTCTCCCTCTCAAAGGTCTTGTCCTCAAGGCCTATAAGTAGGTTGGCTGGTCCCAGGTTGGGGTCCTTTAAACATGCTTCCTTCAATGATGCTGACACCATGTCAGGTCGCGTTCTAAAATCAAAATCCAAACAGCCTTGCTCGAAAACGCTTCGTCAAGCGGTTAACGAGTCCTTCGCATATTTCGGCGTTATTGCGGACATGCCTTGTACCCGTTGTTTCCGTGCGAAACGCGCTTGTCAATTTGCTGAGGGCGCAAATCGTTGTCAGTTGTGTGCTCAGCACAAGAAGCCTTGTGATGGTTTGGTGGTGGCTTCGACACGTAAGTTCTTTTCTCTTCGGGCGGCGATGTTTTCTTGCTGATTTGGTAGTGTCAAAATTGAATTCCCAGCGTAAGGAGTGGGATGAGAAAGAAGAGGAGGCTGGTGAAGAGGTGCTGCGGATCCATGAGGAGTTGGCACGTCTTCAGTCCGACATGGCTCTAGCAGTGAGCCGTTTATCTCGTATTCGTCAAATTCGAAAGAAGGTGGTGGAGCGTCAGAAGGAGACGTTTGCGCGAGGCATGCAAGAATTGGACGCGGAGGATGGCTTGCTGTCAGTCCTGGATGCGCACGAGGCTGGTGTGGTTGGTGACCTTCGGTTTCTTGGGGTTCCTAATGACCCTTCCTGGTCTTCCTTCGGTGTTGGGGAGGAGTTCGCTGATCTTGGTCCCTTAGTGGGTGATCCCGCTGGGTCCAGTACTGTTGGAGTTCCTCCTGAGCGTGTTCCAAGTTCTTAGCTGGTTCCCATGAGTCATCTTCATGTCCATAGTTTTTCCATTTGATGAAGTATTCTGTTGTTTCGCCATTCTTTCGGTGGTCTAGAATGCGTTCTACTTCATATTCGGTATCGTCTGTTTCCACAATGATGCAGTCTTCGGTGTGTGTACCGTCCGGTGCTGGTTCTAATAATGAGACGTGAAAGACTGGGTGACATTTCATTGTTTCCGGTAGTTTCAACTCGTAGTTGACTTCGGAAATTTTCTTCGTGATTTCGAAAGGTCCTAGTTTTTTGAAGTCGAGTTTGTCGCTAGGTCGTTTCGTTTTGATGTTTCGCCGTATGAGATAGGCGCTACCTCCCTCTTTTAGGGGTGGGCCTCTCACCCTATGTCGGTCGGCGTGTTTCTTCATTCTCCGTCGTACGAATTCGAGTTTTTGGGGTAGTTCTTGTTGGATTTCCTTAAGTTTCTTGATGTCTGCAATGGCTTTTATCGCTGCCGAACCTTGTCGAGGTTCTCCGTATGCAGTGGGGTTGAATCCATAGTTAAGAAAGAAAGGTGATTCCTGAGTACTTTCTCCTACCGCGCTGTTGTATGCGAATTGTGCCATGGGTAGTAACTTAACCTAATTGTCTTGTTTATAGTTGACATAGCATCTGAGATATGTTTCTAGAATCTGATTGATTCTTTCTGTTTGTCCATCGGTCTGCGGATGGAAAGCGGTGCTGAGTTTATGCTTCGCTCCTAGTTGCGAGATCAGGGATCTCCAAAACTTGGATGTGAAGACAGATCCTCTGTCGGACACGATTTCCTGTGGCAGTCCGTGTTGGCTAACGATGATTCTGAGGAAGGTGTATGCTAAATCTTCGGCTGTGCTTGATTCCAAGTAGGGTACGAAATAGGCGTATTTAGTGAGTCGATCCACTATGACTAGTACGCTGTCGTATTTTACCTTGGTGAGCGGTTCTTTTGACAGTGGTAGCTTGACTATAAAGTCTAGTGAAATCGAGTGCCATGGTGCAGGAGGTGTCGGTAGTGGCTGCAATTCTCCATATGGTTTGTGTCTGCTGGGCTTGCTTTTGGCGCAGACTTCACAATCCTTGATTGCTTCGGCTACATCCTTGCGGGTGACTCGTTTGTCGTGATGTTGTCTGATTCTCTTCCAGGTTTTGGTAACACCTTGGTGGCCATGTGCGGGTGCAGTGTGGATTTCCATGATCTGGTCGTGAGCCATTCTTCCAGTCGTGCTGGTCCTGACTCTTTCGCCAATCATCAAGAGTTTCTGTGCTGGCACAAGTCCTCCGTCGTGTTCTTTAAGGATAACCTGAGTTTCTTCTGGGACCGGGACCATGAGGTCCGGTCGTCGGCTGAGAGCATCGGCTCTGCCGTTTTCTGATCCTTTGCGATAGATGATTTTGAAGTTAAATTCTGATAGGAATTCTGACCATCGTATTTGTCGCTTGTTGAGTTCTTTGGATGTTGTGAAATGTGCTAGGTTCTTGTGGTCGGTATAGACCTTGACTTGATACTTGGTTCCTGAAAGTTGCGGTCTCTATTCCTTGAATGCTTCGATAATTGCCATGAGTTCTTTGTCATGAATTTGGTAATTGAGCTCTGGTCCTGAAAGTTTCCGAGAGTAAAAGGCACATGGGTGCAGAACATCGTCTTCATCTCGTTGCCCGAGTTGTCCTCCCATAGCGGAATCCGAAGCATCGGTTTCCAACTCGAAAGGTTTCTCAGGGTTTGGGATCATGATGACGGGTTCTGAGCTGACATGGTCTTTTACCTTCTGGAATGCTTCTTGTTGTTTTCCTGACCTTTCCTATGGAACGTCTTTCCGTGTAAGCTCGGTAAGGGGCAATATCGTCTTGGAATAGTTTTTAAGGAATCTTCGGTAGAAGTTGACAAATCCTAAGAACGCTAGGATGTCTTTGGGGTTTTCTGGCGTAGGCCAATCCCTGATGGCTTTGACCTTGTTTGCTGACATCTTGATTTGTCCAGGTGTGATGGTGAATCCTAAGAACTCGACTTCTTGTCTGTGGAAAAGGCTTTTATCTGGTTCTACAAGCAGTTTGGCTGCTTCTAGTGCTTTGAGGATCTGATGGACGTGTTGTTTATGTTCTTCGAGTGTCTTTGAGAATATAAGTATGTCGTCAAGGTAGACGACAACTGTCTTGTCCAGGTATTCCCTGAGTACGTGGTTAATCATGGTTTGGAAAGTGGCGGGTGCGTTGGTGAGTCCGAACGGCATGACGAGAGTCTCAAATTGTCCTCGCCTTGTTCTAAAAGCTGCTTTCCATTCGTCTCCTTCAGCTATTCGGATGAGATTATAAGCTCCTTTGAGGTCCAAGGCAGTAAACCATTGGGCGTCATAGAGTAGGTCTCGTAGTTCCGAGATCAAGGGCAATGGGTAGCAGTTTTTAATAGTGATGTCGTTCAATTTCCTGTAATCCACGCATAGTCGTTTCTTGCCATTTTTCTTTGGTACAAAGAGTACTGGGTATCCGGCCGGTGATGTCGAGGGTCGGATAAATCCTTTAGCTAGGTTCTCATCTAGCCATTCGTCGAGGGCGTCCATTTCTTCTTGGTTAAGGGGGTAGATTTTACTGAAGGTAGGTTCACAACCTTCCTTGAGTTCGATTTTGTGGTCGTATCCACTGTGTTCCGGTAGTCCGGTCTCGAGCTCTGATGCAAAGAGCTTGCTGTATATCCTGTATTCAACAGGTATCTTCGATAGCGGGTCTTCTGTAACTTTGTTGGTGGCTGTCGCAGCTAGCGTCCTAGTGCGCATGTCTTTCGTTCTGAGGAACAAGCTTGGTCTGGTTCCTTGTGCCGCTAGTAATCCGCGTGAGGGCTTCTGCGAGCGCTGCTCAGGGGCTGGATTGTCGTATGTGATTAGGCCTTTTCCCCAGTCTATCCGGGGGTTATTCTTTCTTAGCCATGGGATTCCAAGGATGACCTCGTGTCGTCCTATCTCAGTGATGTCAAGCGTGATGTGTTCCTGATGGCCATGGTGAATCAAAGGGAGTGGCGCGGTCTCCGAATCAATGATGCCTCCGCCATACTTGACTCTTTTCCCTTCTACCGTATTCAAAGGGTAGGGGTTCTGTTTCTTGGCCCATGGTATTTCTCTTTCTTGTATTATTCGTGGGGATATGAAGTTTCCCTGGGCTCCCGAGTCGATCAGGGCCTCCGTAGTGTAACCTCCCAGGTTCACTGTGATCTTGAGATGTGCGTCGTTTGCTGTGGTTGCACATAGGGACTTTTCCCTGGAGCCTATCTCTTGTCCCTCTAAGAGTGGCTCTGCTCGTTTTTTGACGATTTCTTTCCCTTACGTTTGTTTTTTCGCAGGATGGCAAGGTCGGGTATTTCTTTGGATGGTCCACTGGGTTGTTGTGATAGTCTCCATGCTCTGGATTTGTCCTCGCAATGTACCTTGCAAATGTCCCGAGTGCATTCTTCCCACGACATTGTCCTATCGTGTTGGCATCTCATTGGGTACTCACAATTGGGTGCGAAGATAGCGATACCTTCCTCCTTTTCGTATCTCACCAAATCCCACATGGGTAGTTCGACTTCAGTGTAGACTTGCGTGATGGGCTCAGTGCCCCACCTGCGTGGGTAGAATTTGTATTCGTGTTTGTTGACGACGTGCAGCTCGCAGCTGTCAATAATGCATTGTCCCCAAAATAAGTCATAGTGTTTCTTAGCTCTTGGGTCGAGGATTGGGTGGTCGTTGGCTTGGATGGAAGATTCAAAGTATGTTTTCCTCTTCTTGGCTGGTATCCCGAAGAAATATAGTTGTTGGTTATCATCGTAAGGATCAATTTCTTGGTACTGAAGGATTTCTGTTAGGTGTCGGATCCTGTCTTGTCGTTCCTGGTCCTCCTCGGAACTAGTGTCATCGATGCTGACTACGTCTTGTGGGGTCGCATCTACATAGTCGTCTTCGATCTGGTCAGGTTCTTCAGATTGGTAGGGGGATTCGCTTATCCCGAAGTGCCAGTGCTGAGTAATTTTTTGAAGCCGTTGTTCCCTTTCAGGGTTATATTCATTGATTTCTTCTTTCTTGATTTTGTTTATTTCCTCGAGCTCCTGGTTGATCCTATGGATTCGTTCGGGGTCATCTCGAGCACTAATTCGTCGTTCAATCTGGGCGTCCAGCGCTCCAGTCTGTTGTTGCCAAGTAGGGTTACTTGGGTCTTGTTGGGCTCGTTGTTGGCAAGCGTCTCGTCCTTGCTGCAGTCGGGCGATCCGTCGCTCATTGTCTTGATATGTCGAGCTCGCGTTTAGTCGCTGGTTTTGAAGCATCTCATCGAGTTGCTCGATTGTTTTTCGTTCTATCTTGCTAGCGACTGCTAGGGTGCGGGTGTTCTTTGCATCTCCATCGTCTCTGGGTACGAACCGGGTGGTTCTGTGCTGGAGTGCATATTGTCCGCGCGTGTTACCTTGTAGTAGGACGCGTTCGTTTCGTTTTTTTGTAAGGTATAGGGTGACCCTGTTGTCTGGAATGGTTGCTCGGGTCCCCGCTCCTATAGCTTCGTCAAGTCGTCGAATGGCTTGATCATTTTCGTCTTCTAGTTGTTGAATTTCTTCCGGGGTGAAGGAGTCAGGAGTTGTGACTTGGTCAACTTGGGTATAGTTGGTAAGTCGTCGGCTGTCCCAGAGCAGCCCGGGGTGATTTACGATTGTTCCGTCTGCAAAGGCTTTGTTGAGTTTGTTGGCAACTTCTTCTTGTTCATACCGGTCCAGGGGTCGGTTATTATTGTTGAAGAAGCTGATGTCTTGTCGGTCTGCTACCGCGAGAATTTTGTCGTTCATCCCGGTGGTGTCGCATCCAGATCGTCCAGAAGGGTCCTTAGGGTACCATCTACTGTTTTCTTTAGCTTCCCTGTGGTCGTTATAGAGATCGTTGAAGCAGTTGGTCCATTTTTCACTGCTGTGATCTCGTTGTTTTTGTGCTACGCTGGCTTGTCGCGGTGGTCCTTGGATCCGTTTGGGTTGTCTGCAGTCTCTGGCCATATGTCCGGGTTTGTCGCAGTTGTAGCACTTGAATTCCTTCTTTTGTTGAGGTTTCTGGTTCCATCGGTTGTCCTTATTGGCGACGCTTAGGTCTATGGGGCCGCTGTGATGTCCGTAAGCGGTGCTCCGCTGTTGATTCTGCTGAGAGCGGTTTTTGTCGTGTTGATGAAACTTCTTCTGAGGTTGCCATTGGTATTTCTTGGCCGAATTGGCGGGTTGTCGTCTTTCGCCCTTTTCTCTTCTTCGCTCATAAAGTCGGTTGTCTATCTTGATGGCGAGTTCGGTGTAGCTGAGAAAGTCTTCTGGTTTGTCTAACTTAACGATCTCGTCCTTGACCTCGTCTTTGAGTCCTGAGTAGAAGATAAATATCTTGGACTCATCAGTCATGTCCAGGGTAGCGCAGAGGCGTCGAAACTCGGCGGCGTAGTGAATTGCCGACTTGGTTTGTCTGAGGTTGTTAAGTTCCCTTTCTGCCCTGCTGCGTTCATCTGGGTCTTGGAATAGGGATTTGAGTGCATGCTCGAATCCTTCGAAGCTGTCGAAAATATCACGGGTCTCCGTGTTACAGTCTTCTAACGTTTCGTTCTGCCAGTAATTTTCCAAAAACGGTTCGAACCACTGAAGGGCTTTCCCGTCTAGGAGGGCCGAAGCGTGTAAAACTTTCTCAGACTTATTTCTGAAGTTGGAGCGGTGAAAGTTGTGGTAATTCTTGAGTTGAATCAGGAATCCCTTGAGTTTGCCAGGAGTACCATCATACTTGCTTAGGGTGCTGAAACGGAGCTTCTCTCGTCCGTCTACAGGGGTTTGGATGATATTAGCAGCACCTTGTAGGGTACGGTTCTGGTTCAGGAGTTCCTGGTTGCGTCCTTCGAGGTTCCGGATAGTAGCTTGGAGTTGCTCGAGGACTACGGCGTTCGAATTGAACATTTCCTGAAGTCTTCCAACGTCACGGTTGTTCTTGCGAACCTGACGCTGAAGTTCTTCATTGCCGTCATCTTCTTCTTCTTCAGATTCTTCTTCCACGTCCTTCATTTCTTCTTCTCCAAGTTCCTGAGCAAGGTTCTTGACGGGTGCCTTCCCCTTGGAGGAGTTGGGGAAAGTAGTAGGAGTTTTGGCGGTGCTGGATGAAGACATCTTGTCGAAGGTACTGTTTGTTAGTTTCGCAGGGTCAACTTACCAAACAGGAGCAATCAAAGTGTTACGGCCAGCTAGTGACAGTAGGGTTTCTGCTAACAGAAGTTGAGGCTGCGATACTAACAATAGGTCTTGCGTCGTATACAGGTATGTCGTACTGGTAGATCGAGGGTTAGGGTAAGGTGATCAGTCTTACACTAGGTAACGAGGTATAGTAATATCACAAACTATGAGCTAAGCTGAAAGTCATCGAGGATGAATCACAAGTTGATTGCTGAAGAACTATCTAGAGGGCTTGAGCAGGTGCTCAAGTCCTGGTCTATATACAAGTCCCGTTTCCCAAGGCCGACGTCCGCGTCGTCGCTTGCCGATATCTCAATTGTCGGCAGCCGACATGCCAAGAGTCGTATCTCTTATTCCTTTCTTATCATCACGTGACTTGAACATAGTTCTTCCTTTTCCGGCGGGGCGACCCTTGTCCCTTCCGTCGCCTGCATATATCTTGTCTCTAGCCGCTGTCCTCGAGTGGGGCTAGTTTCTCTGTTAGGCATACTTAACGGGTCGTAACATGGGTATGTTCTCATTCGTAGGGATACTCCTCTCAGGCTCGTTTAGAATTAGCGTCTAAAAACAGCTGCCCCATACACTGCTTGAAGCTATCTAAATTAATAGTAAGCCTCCTTAAGCACTTTAAATTTAAAATCCTAGAATATTACTTCTAGCTTATTAGCGATTTTATAATATTAGCTTATATAATTACCATAACTTACTTTAACTTGAGGGGAAATACTACGTTATTAGATATTAGTTATGAAAAATAGGGTTAAAGTTAAGAAAAAAGACTTTTAATTAGTTAGTATTTTACTATTTGTTTTTAATAAAATATAATAAATATTTAAAGTAATAAATAGCCTTAAAATACTATTATATAAAATTTACATTTATATCTTTTTAATATCTTTTTATTAATTAAGGCTGTTATGGTTAGGTTTTTAAGAGTATTATTCCTTTAAATGCCTTCCGTTAGGAAGGTTATGTCAGATTGAGCGCGCTACGCGAGGCTTCGGCAACGCTCGGCAGAACACTATTTCCGAGCGCCGAGCCCCGGGTCAGGGGGTGGCATACCCCCTTCCCTACGCGCCCCTGAAGGGCCCTTAGACAGTTACACACATAACGGAATATACATCGTTCTGAACCCTCAATTCGACAATTAACAGTCTGATACGTGCTGCGTTTACGTTAAACGCCGCCAGCCATCTATTCTACGCATACGAAAGCCCTTTCTACGCGCCCAATTGAACCCCTATCGTCGAAATGTCCTCCTCAAGCGCGAAAATCACCCTGAATACCCCTGCCGACTGGATCCTATGGATCGACCAGCTGCAGTCGAAGGCCAAGTCCTACGACCTCTGGCGATATATCGATCCCCAGCGCCCAGGCGCCTTAAACACGGGACAAACGCGTCTCGAGCGGCGGATGGAGCGGCCGAAGCGCCCCGAAATATACGATCACCCCAAGACCGGCAAAGCCGAAGTGCTAAACGAAGACGCCGACTACGAAACGCGCGCACAAGCGCTGGAGGAGCTCTCGGCAGCCAATCTCGCCCTGTATAAGGAACGTCGGTCTGAATATATGGAGCGCTCCAAGACCCATGAAGCGTTCCTGAAAGGGATTCGCGTGCTCGAAGACTGGGTCCGAGATACAGTCAGCACCTCTCTCCTCAAGAGCTGCTGTACCGCGGACCGCGCACTGGACCGCTGGGTCTACGCGTTGAAGGAACGCGTAGGGATAACCACTCGTGAGAGACGCACCGCCGCGAGCGAAGCATATAAGAGAGCGCTCCAGATACCGGAGCGGAAGCGACTCGCAACGAAGAAAGAGCTGGAAGAGTGGCTTACGAAGTGGGAAGAATCAATCCACGAAGCAGCAGCGGCGGGCGTCCCGGGTACCGAGCTCCCCAGTATATGGTTCCCGGAATTCACCTACGCCGTGAGCCACAGCTACGCCGATACATGGATCTTCTTATACCAGACCGTCAAGGACGAACGCGTCGAAAGCGAGAAACTGAGCGTTGGAGAAGTCCTGTCAGACGCGCGGCGGTTCCTACAAACAACCTCTCAACACAACCCGAAGAAGCAGGCCGGACGCGGAGCGTTTGGTCCTACCACAGAAGCCACTTCAAGAAACGAAGAGGAAGGGGAACGAACTTCCCCCGCGCGCCTAACGGTACCAATGAGAAGCAGCCGGGGATCTCGAGGAAACACGCGCTCCAGAGGAGGAGCTCGCAGAGACCGGTCGCGGAAGAGAAGCGATGGGGAGAGCGAGGGCAACCGGCTGTGCCCTGCGTGCCTGAAACCTCACCCGCTCTCGAAGTGCTGGCTCGTCAACGAACGGGAGCGCCCTGAGTGGTACGAGCCGAGTAGAGAGCTTCTCGCGAACCTCGACGAGCGGATGAGAAAAGACGAAACGCTCGCAAACCGTGTCAGGAAGGTGAGAGAACCAGCGAAAGAAGAACACTGACTATATGGCCGAAGCAAGGGGACCGTCCCGAGTGCCTTCCACACCGCTCCGGAGACATACGAGCTCTTCAGATCGGCGATCCTGGACTCTGGATCAACGATCCATGTATTCAACGACCCCTCGTGGTTCACCACACTGTCAGGAGCGCCAGCAGGCGACTACTTATGGGCAGGCGCTCAGCAAGTGGCTATCGAAGCATACGGAACCGTCGACATCAGAGTCAGAGAGCAGGGGAGCACTGTTACGAAGCTCCGCCTCTACGACGTCGCACTCTGTACCGGCTTCGCGAGCAACCTGGTTTCCCTCACGCGCCTACGCAGGAGAGGCTTCTGGTGGGATATGAGTCCCCGGAATAACTGCTTACGACGCGCGGACGGAACGTTTCTCTGCGCTCTCACAGAAGTTGCTGGCCAGCAAGTCCTGGACTACCGAAAGATCGACGCGGCATTCGCAACGGCGCCAGTCACGCGAAGCGCGGCACCAGACGACCCCAAGCCGCGCAGAAGGCACAACTACACAACGGCGACGCGCAGGAAAGCAATCAGCGCAAGCGCTGAACTCTGGCACCGCAGACTAGGCCACGCGGGACCGGAAGCTATCCGCCACCTGGCCAATTCGGCGCGAGGAGTCCGGCTCGCCTCAGGGGGTGGTCCAATAACAACAGTTGACTGCGACGCTTGTGGCGAAAGCAAAGCACGCCGGATGGTTCGCCGAGCGCCCCGAGAATCCCTGAAGCGCGCAAAGCCTGGTGAGAGGCTCGCACTGGACTTCCACGACTACGAAGAAGGTTACGAAGGGTACACGTCAACCATGATCATCGTGGACCGCGCAAGCGGTCTAGCGTGGGACTTTTACCTTACGGGACGCACTACTGACGTTCTGCTAACGACCCTGACGGACTTCCTGGAGCTCCTGAAGACCCATTACGACATATCAGTGAAGTTCCTGGAGACCGATGGGGAGCTCGAAAAGCACTTACGCGTGACCCAAATGCTAGCAGCACGCGGGATAACAATAGAGCCATCGGCTCCTAATACACAGTCACAGAATGGAGGCGCTGAACGCGGGGCGGCAGCTATCAAAGAGCGCGCGAGGGCAATGGCTAGAAGCGCAGCGCTACCGGACGTGCTTTGGCCGGAAGTCACGAAAGCAGCCACCTACGTCTACAACCGAACGCCGTCAGCAGTCAGGGGGTGGAAGTCGCCGTACGAGCGCTTCCACAGACAGTTCTGGCACGAGGAAAGCGGCTTCTACGCGCGCCCAGACCTCTCTCATCTGCGCTCATATGGGTGCAAAGCGTACGCAATGACTACTGATGCGCAGCTGAAGCGCAACAGGCGCCAGAAACTCGCTCCGCGTGCCTGGATAGGCTACCTAGTCGGCTACACATCAAGCAACTCGTTCCGGATATGGAATCCCCTGCGTAGTGAAGTATTTACCACGCGCGATGTGGTGTTTAACGAGAAATGCCACTTCGACGGCAACGTCAGGTCCCTAGTGGAAGAAATCAACCACCTCGACCTGCAGGCGATTCAGCAGCGCATAGAGGAGCTGATCAGACAGACCACGGGCTCAGAAAACTATATACAAAGCGCTGACGAAGAAGCAGAAGAAGTCTCAGAGCACGCCGATCCCGGTGAGCCTGCCCTGGAAGCAGCAGAAGCGCTCGGGCACCATAACGCTGAAGCGGACGCGCCTAAGCAAGTGGAAGGGCAATACACGGGAGCGCGGTTTGAGCCCTTTCCGACGCCGGAGGCGTCGCCTCCCACATCCTTTCTCGCGGTGCTCACCGAGCTCGACGTGAGGGGGTGGGGAGAAGAGCATACGCGGGATATCCCCGCTACGAAGCCCATCTATAAGAAGGTCACACCACGGACGTCGTACAAAGCCGCTTTTCTAGCTGGAACGACGCTTCACAAACAAAACCCTAGACGTCAAGACGGCCCACGAAGGGATCGCGTTGTGCATGGCCAGCCGCGCGCCCCTGAGAGGGTTTCCGAGGCAACCTTCACCGTGAAATCCGGGAATGACGGCGCGGATGAAGGCCCTTTGGAAGACCAAGTTACAGGTCAGCAGGAGGCAAGTGAATCCCAGGAAGGTTGCTCCGTGGTAGAAGCGTTTGAGACAAGTGAGCCCAGCTCCCACAGAGACCGGAGCCAGACGCTCGCAGAAGAGACGAAGGATCTCAGAGCGCGCGGTAACCGGGATGTGGTGACTGCGTTGGCGCCGACCGAGCTCCGCTCCCGCGTGGAAGCGCAAGGCCGAAAGAAAGGCGCCTACTGGAGGGATCTGGCCCCTTTGCCAACGTCTCACGATCAGTTGCAACGTCACCCTTTCCGGGAGGAGTTCCTGCGCGCTGAAAGAAGCCACCTAGACGGGCACAAGGAGTCCCGCTCGTGGGAAGAGGTCGCAAGAAGCGCCTCGCGCGGCTACCAGGTCCTCGGATGCCACTGGGTATACACTTACAAGCTTGATAAGCA